AATTAAAACAGACATTCGGATGGCGGGGAAGAAGAACAAAGTGGGGAGGAGGGTGGAGAGAATGGTGCGGCAATGAAGGAGTGAAAGCCCAGAATCCCTGTGAATGTTCATTGAAACTAATAAAATTTAATAATAATAAAATAAAAAAAAGAAAAGGAAAACAAACAAACAAATAACTGATTGTACTTGTATCATGTGGTCTCTGGCCTCATTTCTGTCATCAAGTCCATATCTACAACCAGTCCTTTGTTTCTAACTTTTGCATTTCAGTCACCAATTATTATTTTTTCTCTCCCTCATCTGTTTCAATGCAGTATACATTATTGAACCCATCTTTCTCAGTCTCCGCCCAACCCCAATGTCAGTCCCGTTTTACAACAGTGGCACTATGCAGTATTTGTCCTTTTGTGACTGAGCTACTTCACTTAGCATAATGTCCTCCAAGGTCACCCATTTTGAATAATATTTCAGGAGTTCCTTGTTTTTCAATGCAGCGTAGTATTCCATTGTTCTCCATTCATTCGTTTGTTGATGGGCACTTAGGTTGTTACCAACTCCTTGCTATTGTGAACAAAGCTGTGATAAACACGGGTGTGCATCACCAATTATTAATGCATCCTGATTGCATATTTTATCAATTTTAGACTGTAAAGGTCAGTAGAAATTGTCAAGTTCAGCACTGACTTCGGTGGTTGGTTCACATAGTGGGGTAATAGACTGGCAGAACTTCCTTATAGGCATATAGATAGTATCCTAACACACTGTCTATCAGGACAGATTTTGCAATGTTCTTTGTGATGATGAATGTGACTCCATTTTCTTCAATATGTCATTCCCAGTTGAACAGATCATATAATGGCCTGATTTAAAATGGCCAATACCAGTCCACCCTAGCTCACTAACGCCTAGGACCGAAATATTCACGTGTTCCAGTTCCTTTTTTGACAACTTCCAGCTTTTTAAGGTTCAGTCTTAGTACAGTTCCATGATTAGTGGAAGGCTCCAATGATTAGTGGAGGTTTGCAGCTGTTTCTCCTTCTTTGCAGTTGTGCTACGTCAACAGAAGAAGGCCTTTCAGTGGATGAAGGCTTTACTCCATCCTCATCAGTAAAGCAGAAGCTCTGTGGGGAAGCAATTCTCCCCTAGTCACATTCTGAGTTCCTCCCTGAGAGCCTCAGCTTCTAGCACTGTATCAAACTATGTTCCACTGCCCCTCACAGAGTTTTCAAGGGCCTGTTATTTCAAAGGTGAATGACCAATCCTGCTTCTTAACCTGGAAGCTCTGCTGAAATTGGATCACCATGTGTAACCCGGCTGGTATTTGAAGTACTGATGGCATAGCTTCCGGCATCACAGGAACATGAAAGCCACCACAGTGAAGCAACTGATGACAAGTTTATTGGCTTGTCTATTGGCTAACAGCTCTGGTGGCCTAGTGGCAAGAAGCTGTGCTGCAATACTGAAGGCGCACGGTTTGAGGCCACCAGCAGCTGCTTCGAGGGAGAGGATGGGTAATCTCCTCCTGTGTGATTAACTGCCTCTGAAAACCCACTGGAGGGTCAGCCATAAGCTGGTTCCAACACTATGGTACACAACAACCACAACAACATTGGCTAACATTTATTGAGCATCTAATGTCATGTCTGGCATTACGATCCTTAATGGATTTCATCTACAAACCCCCCCGCCCACCACCTAGTCTTAGGTATGAGGAGATTCTATCTCAGAGGGATTAAGTGACTTAGAAAAGTTCACATAGCTGGCAAGAGACATAGCCAAGGTGGAGTCTGCTAATTTCAGTTAGACAAACCAGTCTTAACTTGTCATGAATTCACCATTCACATACAAGCTAGGGTATTGATAATCACCATATAACTTATAACTGTGGTATATGGTTCGAATCCACCAGATGCTCTGCTGGAGGAGGAGGAGGGGTAATCTCCTCCTGTACAAGTCAGATCTAATTTGACAGTACACACACACAAAATGTTGTTGTTGTGTACTGCAGAATCAGAACCTACCCATAACTGACTCTCCAGAGGGTTTTCAGAGGCAGTTAATAGCACAGGAAGAGACTGCCCATCTTTCTCCTGCGGAGCAGCTGGTGGCCACGAATCCACGTACCTTCGGAATTGCAGTGCAGCTTCTTGCCACTAGGGGTACTTACTACCCTGGTCTTCTTTCCAAGATAGTATCTTGATTCTCATGGTTATGTGTTTCTTGATTTATTTCTTTCTTTTATAGCATTTTTTGCATATTCCTAAAATAAGGATTTTATATTACTTGTTCTTAAAAAGTTCAAAGAAATGCACACCCATGTTTATTGCAGCTTTGTTCACAATAGCAAAGAGTTGGAAACAACCTAAGAGACCATCAACAAATGGATAGAGAAGCTGTGGTATATTCACACATTGGAATACTACGCTGCATGGAAAACCAAGGAACTCATGCAATGTTATTCAGAATGGATGATCCTGTAGGACATTATGCTGAGTGAAATATCTCAGACACAACAGGCCAAATACTGCATAGTACCACTGTTGTAAAATGAGACTGACATTGGGGTTAGGGGGAGACTGAGAAAGATGGGATTCATAAAATATACTGCATTGAAACAGATGAGGGAGAAAACTTTAAAAGGGATATATGATTAGGTGTTATTGTCATGACAGGAGTCCAGAACGAAGGCTGCATAGTGGAGTGGACTTAGGGGGGAGGGAGTGTATAACCATGAAAGAATTTTACTTTTCAAAGAGAAGAATGAACTGGAGGGGAAGGATGGGCAGGGAGAAAAGTGAAACAATGAATGAATGGAATTCCAAAATCTCTATAAATTTTCATTAAAATTAATAATAATAATAGAAACAAAAAACAAAAACCCAAACTTCAAAGAAGCATCATGCTTTAAATAATATGCCACACTTTAATATATGATATTGTTATGATTTTATCCTTAATATAGTCATGATTTACCTGTATAATTAAATGTCAGTTTCGTTCATTTGAGTGAACATAAATGTGCCAATACATGATTATATTAAACTGTATTCATTCACTGCTGTTAAAGGACATTTAAATGCCTTTTAAATATTCATTATTATGAACTCTTTAATAGTAGTGTACCATAGAGTCAGAAGCAACACATAGCTGACCCTCCAGTGGGTTTTCAGAGGCACTTAATCGCATGGGAGGAGCCTGACCATACTTCTCTCATGGAGCAGCTGGTGGCCTCGAACCGTGTGCCTTTGGGATTGCAGATCAGTTCTTGCCACATTATGAACTAGACAATCATGAATATTAGTGTGCATCAAAATCCTTAGGAACAGACTTGTTCGACATTGAGTATATACATGTTCAGCTTTAGAAAGTAATGCTAAACTCATTTCTAAAGGGCTTGTTCACTTTCAGACTCCCAGTAATGTAGGTTGAGGACTGATTTAGTGATTGACAAACAATGTAAGAAGAAATTATTGCAGGAGAAATTCCGAGGTTAACTGCATTTGTGAATTTTCAGACCACCCCCACCCCCAGCCCTCATCCCTGTTGTAGGTCAAGGGGGATCCATGCTCCTTCATGGTATCATTTCACAAGCTCACTTACCTGCTCACAGTGGCCGGCGAGGCCTGCTCAAGGTCCGCGGGCTCAAAGATCAAGCTCATCTTGGGGCTCATCTGGATAATCTCTCCACTCATAAGGCACAGCTAAAAGTGCAAGAGAGAAGGGAAAGTGGAGAAGGGAGAGAGGAGAGAGGGGAGAGGGGAGAGAGGAGAGAGGGGAGAGGGGGAGAGAGGGGAGAGAAGACAGGGGAAGGGGGAGAGCAGAGAGAGAGAGAACACAAAGGTTAGTTCACAAGTGAAAGGTTTTGGTGGAGACAGAGTGTGTTTGCATTCATTCAACATCCACTTTTTGAACACCCATTATATGTCAACACCATGATGATAATGGCAATGAGCATTAAATGCATCAATGTCGGCCAGAAGGATGAACCAATCTGTCTTGGAAGAGAGAAAATGAGAATGCTCATTAGAGACAAGTATGGTAAGACTTCCACTCACCTTGAACATGCTATCAGGAGGGGCTAGTCTCTGGAGAAGGGCATGATTCCTGGTAAAGTGGAGGGGCCATGAGGAAAAAGAGGGAAAATGACAAGAAAGTAGGTTGATCCAGGAGCTACAACAATGGGCTCAAACATTATCACGGACTATGAAGATGGTTCAGGACCAGGCGAGGTTTCGCTCTCTGATACATAGGGTTTCATGACTCAAATCCTATGGAATGGCATCGAAGAACAACAGTACCAGTGCAGGGTCTTGTTCTAGATGTTGTTATTGCTGTTATTATGAGCCACTGAGTCAGAACTGACCTACACATGACCCTCCAGCAGGTTTCCAGTGGCTATAAATCACATAGGAATGTATTACCCATCTTTCTGCTCGTGGTAACCACTGTTAAGCACTGACCTCACTGTTGCTGTTAGGTGCTGTCACCAGCGACCCTATGAACAACTGATCTAAACCCTGTCCTATCCTGTTCCATCCTCACCATCTGACACATTTGAGCCCACTGCTGCAGCCACTGTGTCAATCTACCTGGTTGGCGGTCTTCTTCTCTTTTACTGTCCTTCCACCTTCCCAAGCATGATGTCTCTCTCCAGTGAAAAGCCTCTCCTAGCAACATGTCCAAATTATGTGGGAGGAAGTTTTATCATCTTCACCTCCAAGGAGCACTCTGGCTGCACCTTCTCTACAACATACCTGTTTGTTCTTTTGGCATTTTTTTTTTTCGTGGTGAAAGGCTGTTGTCCATACACATACAAGGATGACCTGTTAATAAAACTAATATCTGAAGATATGCATCAACCACTAAAGCCAAAGAGGAGGAAACTGAAGACTTTTACAAAATTTTGCAGTCTGAAATTGACCAAACAAGTAATCAAGATGTGTTAATGATAACTGGTTGACTAGAATGCAAAAGTTGAAAACAATGCAGAAGGAATGGGAGTCGGAAAGTATGAACTTGGTGATAAAAACTAGGCCATAAAGAAAATGACTGAATTTTATATGTTCAATAACTCATTCCTTGCAAATACTTTTTAAAAAAACACAAATGGCAGCTTCACACATAGACCTCTATACTTCATAGTCTGTTTCTGATTAGTGAGCTTATGCAAGAATTTTCTTTTCATGATTTACTTGTTTCATTCAATATTAATGTTTTCAAAGTTTACCTATGATGTGGGATGTTGTTTTGTGCTGCCGAGTCGCCTGTGACCCACAGCGACCTCACGTGCAGCAGCTCTGAATCCTGCCCTGTCGTGACCAGTCTCACTAATTCTGACACACCAATCACCATTGCCCCAGTCACTCTATCAATCCATCTCCTTCAGGGTCTTCCTCTCCTGTGCTGTCCCTCCACCCTTCTGAGCATGATGTCCTTCTCCAAGGACTGGTCTCTCCTGGCCATGTGCCAAAACCACTTTGTAAAAGAATCTTAGCCATCCTAGTAAATGTGATGCATTATCTCCCTAACAGTTAATGACATTAGCTGTATTTTCATGTTTTTGTATATACTATTTGATAATATGTGTGCTCAGATCCTTTGCCCATTTTTATTTGATTGAGCCATTTGTAAATATAATAAACATATGTATTATGTATTTTTTATTAATCACTCACTTCCATAAAAGAGCTTCTGCTCAGCCCCTGTAAAAGTGATATCAGATTCAGTAGCTACCTTTTTATTGTCATCCAGAACAGTGTTCATATTTTCAATCCAAACAGCATCCACTGGCCCATCAAATATAATCCACTTGCGGTCATCAGACACTGAAGATGCCTGCTCTCGGAAAGCGTTGGCAAGAACCCCATCTGTCCATTCATGGCTCACTGGGTCAAAGCACCCATACAGCTGCCCCATAGTAATAGCTTTAGGGTTGATAATCTTGTACTCCACGCCAAACTCCTCCATCTGGTTGGCTAGGAAAGAAGGTCCAACATCTGTTACAAAGGCTCAGGTGAGACCAGATGTTAGAGAAGACATTACAGTATCTTGAAGACCAACCACCTTTTATAAATATATTATCCAAGGATAGTCCTTAGAAAGTGTGTTCATATTCAGGATATCTGTTATCAGCAGGGCTTTAGATTTTCAGGCTACTATAAAGTCCAGTGTCTTCAAGTCAACAGAGGCCCTCCAATGGATTTCTGAGACTCCACATCTTACCCCCACAGAAAAGCTGGTGGATTCAACTGTTAAGTCTTCTGGTTAGAAGCACAACACATAACACACCGTATATCACCAGAGTTACTTTGGGTTACTTACCTCACCTTCTCCTGAAGTTCACGCCAAACTGGGCAAATATGCTGGTCACATCTAAGGCTAAAAACATGTATCTGGTCCTAAAAGAACTCAAGCAGGTAGGAAGGGAGTTGCTACATCACCAGTCCTCTATATGTAGCTGGTGCTCTCACACCCGTCCTAAGAATCCTGGCTTTCTGAAAGGTGACTGAGGACCATGGTCATGGAGTCTCTCACCCGCCTCTCTCAGACCAGGACATCTGACTATTTTCATGTTTTTGAGCTTTCTGACATATTTTCCATCATCTTATACAGGATCTCTACTGTAATCCTTTGTAGAGTGGTCAGCTGTGGCAGCCAGGTAGCATATAGTTGTCCTGGTGTCGGGATCATGAAAGTTGAGGCCTGCGTGGCCTTTGGAATAAGTATTTCAGTACACACTTACTTTTCTCCCCTCTTCTTTGTTGCACCCTCACAAGCATTTAAGATCCCAGTTGTTACACGTCAAAGGAGGATGTAGAGTGTTGGCTTTAATGACTATGTCCTGCCAGGTGACTTTGTTGGCTCCCCAAGACAATGGTCCCAAAGCCCCAATAACCAGCAACTCATTCCCTTAGAGTGTTTGGGTGGTGATTAAGAAGCTTATATAACATTTTCCCCTCCTGCCTGTGCTATATACATGGATGCATTTACAGTATATCCATATGAATGTGGGCATATCACTGGCCAATGCTATGTACAGTCATACTTGTCAGTATCTGATTATCTTGTCTATCTGTATATATGCTGTTGACAGAACGTATTTTTTTAAAAAAAATGTGTTTATAAAAAAATTTTGTTTATCATAATTTTTAATTGATTTTAACAGAATTAATTACAATATCTCATCAAACTCCCTTTGTATACGGCCTTCTTCCTTCACTCAACCTATTTATCTATCTTTGCTCCCCTTGCCCTCTTTGCTCATCTCTGTTAGCTCTCCAAGATGGAATCTATCAATGTATACACATCCCCTTGGGTTTTTTTAGTCTATCAGTCATGTGCATTTTGTTCCATATCATTAACTACAATCCCTACAATGTCCACTCATTGTCTAAATCATCCACTCATTGTCAGCTGTCTTTCTTGTGTACCTCTCTGAGTCTTCCCTTCATTTGATGGTACAGTGCTGAGGACCCCTTAACTGCATGGGATTGCATTGTGAGTATCAGAATTAATCTTAGGGGTGAATGGTCAAATGGAAAAACAGCTTACTTTGTAAATGTTAAAATAATAATAAAAACCAAAATATAATAATAACAATAAAATCATTCTTTTTAAAAACCAAATGAAAATATCTTGGCTTTTATTTGAAATGATTAAATTACCAACAGATAAAGATAGTGGGAGATAATGATTACTTTCTCCATCCCACCTGAGGATCTAGCTTATCCCAGAAGACTCTATCAGCTGTTCAATAAGAGATAAAGCCCGCCATCCCCCATCCAATAAATATTCTTACTGTTGGAATACAAGGACCCAGATTAGAATTTACAGGCTGATAAATGGCATAGCATATATAAAACAAAGAGAATGGATTTGTTTCTTTTCTCGTCCATAGTTTCCTAAACTATATTCAAGAATCAAAATTCTTATATAAGTTGAAATGTCCAAATTACTTATGAAGGCTGAGATAGTCCTCAAAGCTAAAATTTGAAAACCCATCAAAACAGCAACATGATCACTAAACATTATTAGAAGAAAGTTTAAAATTAATTTCTTGACGTGATCATTTAAATATATCTCCAATAAGCCCCTGCTTTTCAAACCCACAGGCTTGAGTTTCAACCAAATAAGCATCTGTTTATTTGGTAATAAACACAACTTATATCTGTTTAACAAGGGAGTGTTGGTGGCCTAGTGGGTAAGAAGTTGTGCTGCCAACTCAAAGGGCAGGGTTCAAATCCACTCGCTGCTCCATGGGAGAAATGTGTGCAATCTCTTCCCGCACAATTTATAGCCTCCGAAAACTCCACTAGCTAGGAGTCATTTCTGACTCTTCAGCACTAACAGCCATAGTAATTTGCTTAAGGCCTGGGTCTAACACTACCTTAGAAGAAACAAAAGGGAAAAAAAATCAGAAGGAAGAGAATAGAAAGGGTAGGAAAGAGAAAAAGAAGATAAAACATACAAGTAAAGAAGGACGGGCAATCTCCTCCCTTGCGATTAACTGCCTCTGAAAATCCGCCAGAGGGTCAGCTATGGGTCTGTTCTGACCAGACAATACACAGCAACAAGGAAAGAAAAGGAGGAGAAGAGAGAAGGGAGAGCAGAGGACAGAAAGAAAATGGTAATAATTTGCTTTTGAACTAATTTTGCTTAAACCAATGACAGGAGCTTCTCTCTCAGTGAGAAACCTTTGGAGAAGTCTCCTTTCAGCCTTCAAGGAAATTCCTCTAGCCTGCCCAGCATTTCCCCTAGCACGCATTTTCCACCAGCAGGCAACTGTGTCAGCCACAATCTATTTCTAGGCCTGACGTCACCATCCAGGACCTGCAAAAACAAACAGCCTGGCACTATCTCCACAGAGCCAGGCTCTGGAAGCCGGAGATAAGAGTTTTACCTGCGTGTAAATCACCCAGAGCTGCCGCCAACACTTTGTAAGCGCACGTCTTGCCGCCCATGGGGTTGCCGACAATCATGTAGCCATGTCTTACCAGCATCATTTCATAAATCTGGGAGAAGACAAAGCAGGAGGAGTTTAAGCAAAGCAGGTCTACCCCAGACCACAAGTCAATTATAATTCCATGATGCACGAGAAGCTGAAAGGGGAGTCTCATGGCCACTTCTACATCTGGTGAGCTGCAGTCTTCTATGGGATCTATTATCTAAGAATTTTTTGATGGATAAATGTATGTGCATACCTCGGATTCTCTCATTGTTATCAGGCTGGAGCCGACTCACAGTGGTCCATTCAGCAGGTTTTCAGAGCCAACCCACTGTACAGGGGGAGACTGCCCATCCTTTCTCTCCACAGAGCAGCTGGTGGACTTGAACCACTCAGCTATCATAAGTCATGACTTACTCATGGAAACACCGAGCCCAAGAGAGGTCAAGTAACTTGTCCAAGCTCATCAGTGGTGGACTCAGGAATTGGACACAGAGCTGCTGGACTTTGCATTACACCATCACAATTTGCTTTTGAGTAAGGTGCACCAGATGCAGGCCATAGTTTTTGCAATTACTTGCTATGCATCAGAAAGCTAGACGATGACTAGGAATAATAGAGAATTGATGCCTTTGAGCTGTGATGCTGTAGAAGAGTACTGAATATACCATGGACTGCTAGGAGAACAAACAGGATCATCATAGAGAGGGTGAAACCAGGCTGCTCCTTGGGAGGCAAGGATTCTGGAGCTCTGTCTGACATACGTTGGGCATGTTGCAAAGAGGGACCTGTCCTTGGAGTGGGACATCATGTTGGGGAGGGTGGAGGAAGATCCTCAATGAGATGGATTGATTCAGTGACTGGAGTAATGGGGGTAAGGGTGTCAGAGACAAAAAGGTTGGCATAGGATAGAGCAGGGTTCAGAGCTGTTGTAAATAGGATTGCTATGAGTCACAAGCAACTCGACAGCACCTAACAACAACAACAACATTTGCTTTTATAGAGAAAAAGGAAATAGTGATCATTTTAAGAAACTGTACTTCTCTGAAAGCATCTCCAGGCTTCTATGCGGTTCTGTCTTCATTAGAGAATCTCAGCAGAAGAAGATTCTGAGTCAAAATGCACGTGGGAAAAGAGAAATGACCTTCTATATAAACTTACTTCCACCCTTGAATCTTTTCTGTGTTCTCCCTGTCTGTTAACTATAACGTGGTGATTGCTGATGCACAGATTCTCCGGTTACATGTATCTCAATGAAAATGTATAGCTTCTCTTTCTCTCTAGGAACATAGTTAGTAGCTGGTAGGAAGTTGCACTGCTAATCTAAAGCCAGGGACTCTCTAGTGGCTCAAATTTACCAGTGGCTTCCTCAGGAAGACAAGCTATCGCCTCCTGTCTGGTTTACATTCTCCCAGAAATCTGCTGACGGTCCCTTATGAGTCTGCTGGATGGTTCCTTATGAGTCTGCTGGACGGTCCCTTATGAGTCTGCTGGACGGTCCCTTATGAGTCTGCTGGACGGTCCCTTATGAGTCTGCTGGATGGTCCCTTATGAGTCTGCTGGATGGTCCTTTATGAGTGGACTCCCACTGGATGGCCATGATTTTTTAGTTAATCTCTATATATAGACTCTGAGTCCCTCAAAGAAAGGAGACACAATGAAGACATGAATGTAAGGAGGTGGGAAAATCAAATTAGTAAAGCAGGTCAATGCCATACATTGTGAAGTATATGTTGTCACCCAACAAATTGTGTGAAAGTTGTTGAATGGTGAGCCTAAACTGCTGTGTAAACCTTCACTGAAAACATAATAAAATATTATTTTAAAATGTTGTTGTTGTTGTTGTTGATTGCCTTCAAGTTGAGCATGACTCATAGCGACCCTATGAACAAAAGCCTGAAGCCCCTCTACCACTATCAACATTGATCAAAGTTCACAGAGTTTCAGGAGGCATGTTATTTAGGAAGTAGATGCCACTCCTAATAAGTAGTAAATTGTGTTGTTGTTGTTGTTGCTGTTGTATACCGTTGAGCCAGAACCAACCCACAGCTGACCCTCCAGCAGGTTTTCAGAGACAGTTAACTGTACAGGAGGAAACTGCCCATCTTTCTCTTCACAGAGCAGCTGGTGGATTTGAGCTGCGTACTTTTGGGTTGCCAGTACAACTCCTTACCACTGAGTTACCGGAGCTCCCCAAGTAATAAATAAGAAAGGGAAATATGGAACATTTTAAATTTTAAGGATGAACTCATTCATTTTGTCTTGGAGGAGAGTGAGAAGAGTCTAAATGAGAGTATTGGCAACAGGAGTGGAAGGCAGAAAACAGAATCACATTACTCTGCAGAGAAAGTGCAAATGAGACCTCTTCCATTCAATGGCCATTTTACCCCAAAACTAGAATGGCACTTTACTGTTTTCTGAGCTCAGGACTATACTCCTATCTTCAAAAACAAAGAAAGAGAAAAAATCCAATTCAGTTCATTCTGATGCAGAGTGACCCTGGAGGACAAGTGGTTTGTGATCTGCCTTCTCAACATCCCTTCTCCTGTATATTGAGAAGAGATCAATCATTTTCTCTGGGGAACCTGATTCGGTGGTTCCATCCACACGACTTAGGGGAGTTGACTCTATCTTCACTTCTAGGGGATATATGCATGAATGAGAAAGATGGTGCGTCTAGGACTTTATTATTATTTTAATTTTATACTGGTTTACTTACAAAGTTCATAAAGTTCATATACATTGCCTTTATTTTTTATGATTGGCTTGGGATGGTCATGTGAGTCTATGAGAACCATACAAAGCTAAGACTGAGACTTCTGTTGCAGCCAAATGGAGAGTAATGCTCTCTTGTCTTCTGGGCCTGAATCTGAGAAGGTTTAAGTCTCAGGTTCCTGGGGGATCATCCAAGAATGAAGTTTTCATGCATAGGCGTAGAACCCAGAAATGAGGAGAAAGAGATTCCTGGTACACTACCTAAAAGCCTGGATTCCACTATTCCTGAGGCCAGCTTCTTTCTGGACTATGCAGTTAGAGGACTGAATAAATTCTCTTGTTGATGAAGGTAGTTTGTTGGAATTCCTATCACTTGGAACTGAAAAAGTGCTTACCACTTCAAAGGCTACGACTAAGGCTTATGCTTCATCCCCTAATTAAAGAATAAGCCTCAAGAAAGAGCTAGTCCTAGGAAAGCATTAGACTTTAAACTTCGTCTCAGGGAAACAAAAAGGGAAAGGCATATTCTCAGAAGGACGTAAGGAACCAACCTGAATAATTTTCCCAATAAACCAAGGTACCGGCTGGAGTTTCATCTTCTTGAGGTTCTCATTCAACACTTCCATGAAAATATCATAGTCTGGTTTTGGAAGAATAATTCCAGGAAACAAATCCGATATAATTCCCTGTTAGCAAGAATTCAAGAGAAGGAGAAGATTAAGTGTCAGGCATGAGATTTCAACATTTTCCTACAGAGAGATCTAGACAGAGGAGAAATCTTTCGAAGAATCCCAAATTTTGTGTTCCCACCATGGAACTCATCTAAAATGACATTATCTGTAAAATGTAACCCTCCACTTAAATAATTATAAAAATAAACAGATAAATTATCTGTCATAATAATTATCTGTTATAATTATAACATAATGATAATAATCAACAGATAATGATAATAATTAAAATAATCAACAGATTCATTATCTGTTCATTTTTTATAATGAGTTGGTCCTAGGAATGAACAAGACATTAATTTCTGTCTTGATGGTACTCAGCCTGGTTAAAAAGTGAAAATAATAATTTTAAAACGAAATGAATTAAACTTGATTTTTGAAAAAATCCAAGTATAAAAAATAATGTAAATAGAATGTATATGAATGATTGTATGAAAAACAATGTAAATGAAAGATTGTATAAAACACGATGTGGATGAATGAAACATACTGTAAAGGTATTATTATATGAAAAATCAATAAAAAAAGACTAAAAAAAATAAACCCAGTGGTAAGGAGCTGTGCTGCCAACCTGGAGGTACACAGTTCAAGTCTACCAGCTGCTCTGGGGAGAAAGAAGGGCAGTCTCCTCCTGTGTACGTCACTGCCTCTGAAAACCTGCTGGAGGGACAGCTATTGGTCGGTTCTGCCTCAACCATCCATAATAACAACCTATCCAACAGCAAATATATCCATCCTATTATTGAAACCATTTTCAAGAAAATCACGAACGAACTGGGAGGCTAGGATGTCAATCAGTAACCAAAACAAGCTGACTGACTGGCTTCGTGCTGCAGAGGAGAGCAGTGCTTCGCCCTATTTTCAAGGTGACCTTTTAGAAGCTGATCCAGCCTTTCCTCTGACACTTCTCTGGGTCATTTTGAACCCCCAACCTTTCAGCTAGTAGGGGAACACTTAACCATTTGTTAACCATTTCTGGCTAACACCATTATTCTTTCAACATGGGAGGGAAGGGCATTAAGCTAGACAGGCTAGATGAAGAGAGGAGTTGGGAAACTGGACAAGGAGCCTCACCCATCTGTGGAGAGGATGGTACAGAAGACATGTCACCTTTACACACTCAGTCCCAATGCCCTACCAAGCTTCCAAACCAACACATACCTGAAATAGAGGGACATCTTGAGCCAGGAACTTGGCCAGGTTGACATCCAGCAATGCCCGGAGCAGCAGGACGCTTTCATTCTCCTGTGGATACTTGAGCTTCAGGTTGCCTGCGGCAGTGAGCACAGACTTGACAGCTCGCATGCCGTAGTCGTAGTGGTGCTGGGAGGAGAGCTGCTCTGAGCACAGCCGGTAGGTGGCGACAATCTTCTGGGAGAGGCTGAGGGAACAAAGACTTGTGTGTGTAGATCCTCAGACAGGACTGTGTCTTGTTCAGCAAACATTTCCAACATCCTTGTCCATGGCTCTCCAGAAGCCAGGCTTGCTATGGACTGGGTGGAGAAGCAATGGCTTGCTATGGACAGGATGGAGAAGCTACGGTTTGCTATAAAATGGATGGAGACCTTCATGTGAAGGTTTTATAGCTAAGGCATTGGGACTCTCTCAGAGTTGTTGGGTCAAGTCAACTGCAACTCATTGTTGTTGTTATGCGCCATCGAGTCGCTTGCGACTCATAGCAACCCTACGTATAAGAGTTCTAAATGCCATCCTATCCTGTGCCAACCTAGCCGTCCCAAATGCACTTTTTCCCACCACTCCAGTCACAGAATCGATCCATCTCATTGAAGGTCTTCCTCTCCTTCACCGCCCCTCCACTCTCCCAAAAATGATGTCCCTCTCCAAGGACCAGTCCCTCCTTGTAACATGTCCAAAGCATGTCAGATGAAGCTTCAGAATCCTTGACTCCAAGGAGCATTCCGGCAACTCACAGATCTTTTTCTATTTTTCTTCTTCCACTGGGCTTCTGAGACTGTAAATCACACAGGAGGAGACCTCTCATCTTTCTCTCTCAGCACCACGGATGGATTTGAATTGCCAGAGAGGTTCAGTCCTTGAGTTAGAACCACAACTCCCTATGGATTACACCACCAAGGCTCCCCAGCCCCAGCACAAAGCTGAGTGTAAAGCAGATACTCAGTAAATGCAGACCACTTCAATAAATAAATTGATGGGCAAGTTACTACAATCAAGGTCTATTATTGGGGCTGCGGGAAGCCAAACAACCCTCCTAATACTGATAGTCTAGGCAGTCTCCTTAGAAGCAAGCAAGAATGACAAGACTTTGTCTCACAGACTCTGGGCATGATCTCAAGGAGGGGCCAGCAGCTGGAGGAGGACATTATATTTGGGGGGAAAGCAGTGGACTGGCATGCAATTGCAACAGTGGGCTTGAGTGGGGCAGAGATTGTGAGGATGGCACAGGATCAAGCAGGCCTGTGTTCTGTGGCACAGAGGGACATTAGGTGTCAGAGCCGACTTGACATCACCCAGTAACAATGGTCTCTTGGCCAAGAAGGGTGACACATTCCTTATAGACTTTCTGCAGCCCCTTAGATAATGTTGTAACACAAAGGCCTTATGAAGACATCTGTTCTAACAACAGCAACAACAGCAAAATCAATTCCTTATGATCAGGACAATGACTACAAAATTTGGAACAGAACAAAATAAGCCACCTTAAAATTAATATGCATTACTATCGGTCTATGTGTTGCATATGTATATATGTATGTGTTTAATCTTCGCAGTTACGTGCTATGCATCAGAGAGCTGGACAATGACTAGGGATGATAGAGAATTGATGCCTTTGAGCTGTGGTGATGGAGAAGAGTGCTGAACATACCATGAACTGATAGGAGAACAGGTTTGTCTTGGAGAGGGTGAAGCCAGAATGCTCCTTGGAGACAAGGATTCTGAAGCTTTGACTGACTTACTTTGGACATGATGCAAGGAGGGACTGGTCCTTGGAGAGGGACATCATGTTTGGGAGAGTGGAGGGACAGCGCAGGAGAGGAAGTCCCTCAATGAGATCAATTCTGTGATTGGGGTGGTGGGAATGAGTGTGTCGGAAATGGTGGAGTTGGCACAGGATGAAGCAGCGTTTGGAGCTCTTGTACATAAAGTGACTTGACAGCACATAACAACAACAACATGCATTTATGAAGATGTTGATCCGTGTGTGTATGTATGTTTGAAAAATGGTTAACATTTAATGACCATTAATATGACCCAGCTTATTGATCAATAAACCTTATATTGATAAAAATGTTAATTGTACATGATATTAAACTTTCCTCTTCAATCTTAGAATAATTTCTCATGTTCCATGGCAGTAAGTCTTTTGTGCTAAGAGTGAGAGGTAGACAGGAAATAGTTTTGTATTTTCCTTACTAGGAATCAGGATGTATGTAAATATAATGAGGTCTCTTGGGACCGCAGGCCATTTACCCGACAAGAATGGGGTCAGGATCAAGCCAGGACTGTATGTTCACAGATCAATGAGCAGAACCAAGGTTCTTAAATTTGTTTGCTGTTCACTCCATGGGTAGGTAACTCACCTTGAAAGCACCAGACCAAAAAAACAAAAAACCAGAAAACAACAACAAAAAAAACCCTCTTTCAGAATCATCCATAGATGTCTAGAATATAGGAGACTCAACCTAACTTACCTTCGGGAGTCCAGAAACCCCATAGAATAGAGGGAGATTTCTCCAATCAGGGCATAATCTGGCACCATCATGGCTACTGTCCTGAATAAAGCCTGGGAAAGAGATAATCGGCCATAAGAATGCGGACATGCATAGTGAATGTGGAGGAACGTTCATTTACAGAGTCACTGAGAAATATTACGCTCATTCAGTCCACTCCATGGACAATCAGTAAAAGGAGGCCTAAAGAACAAGCTACTGTGTCGGACCACCTTAATAGGATAGATGCGCCATTTACCCGACCTCCCCACTGGCCCTGCCTCGGTAAGTGCCGTCCTGCTGGATCCCTGCAAAGTTGAACAGCAGGCTTTTGATACTGGTATCCCAATAATACTTTATTCTCCTATTCCAAATGAAGAGAGCTCTGGTGGCCTAGTGGCACGAAGTTGCACTGCAATCCTGAAGACACACAACTTGAGGCCACCAGCTGCTCCACTGGAGAAGGATGGGCTATTTCCTTCTGTGCAATTAACTGCCTCTGAAAACCCTGCCAGAGGGGTCATCTGTGGGTCGGTTCCAACTCTACGGTCCACCACCACCACAGCACCAATTCCAAATGAAAACCTCTCATAGTAACTGGTGCTTCTAGGGTTAGATATGAACAGTAGAAGTCATTTAGGAATGCCGGACCTACATACATTAGAAGAATCTCAACATCACACAGACCTGACTCTGAGTTCTTGTTCTGCCACCAACTGGCTGTGGGAGAGTTAAGTGACTGAGGCAACCCAAGCCTTCTAGATCTGTCATTCCCTCTCAAAACGGGGTAACAGCTTTACTCTCTTCACTGAGTTTAGAACAAATGGCACACTCTCAGTGCTTAGAAGAGTGTGCGTCACACGCTAAGTGCTCCATCCATGTTAACTTTTGTCGTTAATGTCTTAGGTCTCAGAGGAGATGTGATACCCAACCCTCCAGAGAAGTGAAGTGATTTGCCCATCACACAGTTAGAGACAGAACTAGGAAACTCAGGCTTCCTGATGCCAACATCCAGGTGCTTTCTACTCTGTTACACTGCCTCGTGAAAACTGCTTGTGCAGATAATAACATGGTTGCTGGGTGAGGGGAACAGATTGGGAAAAATGAGAGTGACTGGGTGGTAAAAAAAATGAGGAAAATGGATCTAAATTCTACTTCCACCTTCACTCACCTGGATTGACCTAAAGGAGAAGAGTCACACCCAAACGTCTACCAGACTCTTCTATTTCTAGAGAGAAGTGGGCATTCTTGGGATAAGATCCTAGGTACCATCCAGAATGCACAGGAGTCATCGAGTATCAAGCCAGCAGATCTGGGTGTGGTTAGATCCTATCACTTCCATTCAAAGGGTTGGAGCAGTAAAGTGATAATAAATTCACTAATGGGGCCGGCCCAGGAGTCTTCTTCTGGTTGGCCCTGCAGCTGAAGTGGAGCGAGGAGACCCAGACACTTTGTTCTTGTTGTTGGGTGCCGTCGAGGTGAGTATGACTCATAGCAACCCTATGAACAGCCGACCTGAACCCTGCTCTATCCTGTGCCATCCTCATCATCTCTGAGACACTAGAACCCACTGCTGAAGTCACCATGCCAATCCATGTCGTTGGGGGTCACTGACCCTCCATCTTTCCAAGCATGGTGTCCCTTTCCAAGGAATAGCCTCGCCTAGACCCTTTGTACTTTGGTTTTTATTTCCTTCCCACGAGAACAGCATGCCAATGTCACAATGAATCTGCTCCCTTGGAGGTGGCCTGGTAGCGCTCTCTCTCCTTTAGAAACACTTTCCTTGCACCAGCAGCAAGGCCAACAGATAGTGCCATGGCTGTACCTTACACCTGCTTTGCAATAGAGAGTGGGAGCAAATGGGCTCCTCTGTCATCTCTCTAGCTGGTTCAAACAGCCTGCTTTGGTTTGGAAATAAGTTGGGTGTTGCCAGTTCCATTAGATGGTTCACATATGGCATGTCCATCAGAGCTCATACCACACCCAGCTTGTTTCTCTTCTGTAGCCAACTGAAGCCGGGACCCTGCAGTGTTCATTGCTTCCTACTTGCCATGGGCTCACTCTCCTCCCATAAGACCTCATTGGGTAAGTGGCTGTGATTTGGGGTCAAGTATCACTTTAGCACCACCAAACTCTACTACTACTTTTAAAAAATTCTCTTTTATTTTTTAATAATAAAATTTTTTATTTTAATTGGGATTTTAATAAAAGTTTACAGAAAAGTTGGATTTTTAGTCATTCATTGTTGCACATTTTCCTCCCTCCCCCTGTGTACATTTTTTAAAAATATTCATTTAGTGTTATACAATTGCCTCCCTTCCCCCTTCCCTACTTCCTCTCCCCCAGTCCTCTTTTCAATGCACCTCTTATTGTGGACTGTTGTCTATAATATAATGTCTATAAAGCCTAACCTTAGATTCCTCTTAAACAGTTCTTTCCTTCGTCTGTTCCAGCATAAGCAAGAGCAATAAGACACAAGGAGGAAATAAGAGGTATCCAAACTGGCAAAGCAAAGAGGAGGTAAAACTATCTCACATGGAGATGATACGATGGTAGATTTAGAAAACCCTAAAGACTCAGTGGGAAAACTACTGGACATAGTCCACCAATACAGCAAAGTGGCAGGATATAAGAGCAACATACAAAAATCAGTTGCCTTTCTCTACAGTGACAAAGAGAATACAGTAAAGGAACTAAGAAAAACAGTACCCATCACAACAGCTAATCACAAGATTAAATTATAGCAGCATCGTTCAACATCACAAGAACATAGAAACAGCCCAAATGTACAACTACAATAAAAATGGATTGAGAAATTATGGTACATTCACTTGATGAAATACTACACAGCACGCAGGAGCAATGATTTTGAAATTCATTTCCTAACTTGGGAGGAACTGGAGAGCATTATGCTAATGAATTAACTTAGTCTCATAAGAATAAATATTGTAAGATATGATATGTGTGTTATATAATATGTGTGATTATACACACACACACACACACACACACCCATTATTGTAGAAATAGAAAGATAACTAGTAAAATGTGTATGAGGATCCAAGGGGGGGTAGGAGCGGAGGGTGAGGACGGGCAGGGGGTTAACCATAGGGTCACATAATTTGATGCGCAAAGGGAGGAGCGGGTAATGGAAATGAGAAAGATCTGGTGTGCAAAACAATGTATACGAAATTTGTTAAGTAAACCAGTATAAAATATAAATTTTATTTAAAAAGAAGATTAAATATGTGGGAGCAAATCTAAGTAGAGACTCAAATTACCACCATTCCCTCTTACAGCCAGAAAATGCTACCTGGCTTCTCTAGAGAGCTCTGAGTACCCACAGAGATTCACACATGACAACAGGACACCCAGAATTTGATTACCTTGAGATTATCTGGCAGCTCAGCCCTGCCAGCATAGCCGGGGTTCATGGTGATGAAGACGGCACAGGTTGGGTTCAGAGAGAGTTTGGTGCCTTCAAAGATGAACGTCTTCAGCTTCCGGATGATGGCCTGCTGAATGCTGAGGATCTGCTGAGCTATGACCGAGAGCACTTCGACCTGGGGTGAGAAGACCAGGCTGGTGTGAGCCACGCCTCCTGGTCTCCCATGCTGCTCTCCCTTCCCTTAGCAAAGTGGAGACTCGGTCACTTGGGAACCAGACTTTCACATTAAAATCTTAAGAGCATGATTTGTTGGTAAATAAAGAAAATTGTGTGTGTATGGATGCATGCATATGTGTGTGTGCATAAATACAATAGGATTTTCTTTGTTCCAGTACCGACAACATTGTTCACCACATATTATAGCTATTAAAATTCTTTATTGATTCAAATGTCACGTTCAAGTTTTCTGACCTCCATTAGTACCCAAAAGAACCAATCACCCCTTCTTTAGTATTACTATCATGGGCTGCTATTATATTGATTTAACTTTTATTTTCCCACAATGCCATATACAGAGGCATTCTACTTTTGAACTGGACTGGACTGTCTGTCTTTCTGTTGCTAAAGACACTGAAGGCAAGACAATTTCTCACTCCTCTTTGCATCACGAACATAGGCAGACTATTTGACATATATAACAGCAGCTCCATAAACAAGTACGTGAATGAGTTGTGATGGTACTGGGGGGATGATATTGATGACATGTGTATTTAATCTCCAGGGGGCTATATTGGTTTCATTCAAAATTACCTACTCTGTGGGGTCATGAAGGAGACAGGCTCTGTCATTGAGAGGCAAGAACCCAAAGATACTCTCCCCCATGCCTGGCCCTTCTGATCTGCAGCCCAGCTGCAGTGTTACCTCAATCCTGTTGAACTCATCAAAGCAGGCCCATGCTCCTGCCTGCGCCAGACCCTTGAAGAACTTCCCCATGGCTTTGTAGTCCAAACCATCAGAGCAGTTGAAGACCACACACTAGCGAGAGAGAGAATAAACAGGTGGTGGGGATCCTTTCTTCCTGTAATACCTGATGTAGAGATAGGTTCTTGCTCTGTCTGTTACACTAAACCACACTGCACTTGGTGGTAACGTCCATAAAGGGGTGAGAAGAGAGGGTGGGAGTGGATGGCAGTCCCCTACCTGCTTGGCCAAAGCTTTGGCCAGATCTTTGGTGGTTTCTGTCTTGCCTGTCCCAGCTGGACCCTCAGGAGCACCCCCAAGGTTCAGCTTCAGAGCCCCCATCAATGTTCTGAGGGGAAGGAAAACAAGAACTCGGTGTTAGAGGTCCAAAAAACCAACAGAAATCAGAGCAGGGAAATGGGCTTTATTTTAATAAAATTGGTTTTCTTTTAATCATACAAAGAGTTTCCATTTTTCCTCCTGATTATATAACCCATAGAGAGCTCTGGTGGTTGAGTGGTTAGGAGTTGCGTTGTCAAGTCCAAAGGTACACAGCAGCTCCATGGGGAAAAGATGTATAATCTCCTCTTGTGAGATTGGTCTGTGAAAACCCACTGGAGGGTCAGCTATGAGTCAGTTTCAACAATATGTAGCCAGTATATTCTATTTTACTCAACATCATAACTTCAGAGCTTTGCAGTCCAGGTGGCACTTAAAAACATTCGTTGACTGAATTATTGAATGGATACATGGACACACATACACATACATAAAGGAATAAAATAAAAGTATCTCTCATAATCCCACATTCCAAAAATTCCACAGGTTATGAGCCTTTAAATTTTTTACTCAGTTTCACATTCTCAGCAAATAAACATAATGCCTGGCATTTGGGACAGGCAACGTAAGTTCAGTCAATGAGTCTTGTTGGTAACTATGATACCATGGTGCCCGTATGAGGGCTACAATTCCAATTACCATACTTTGTTGTAAACAACTGTGTATGTGTCTCCTCCATTAGATTAAGGGTTCTTCAAGGCCACGGATGTTGTACAGAAAGTATCAATAAATGTTCACAAAATAATGAGTGGAATAAAATAATAAACAGCAAAAAAAACCATAGAAAACAGAAAACAACTGAAGATTTTTGAAATGAGAAAATATTCAAGTATTATTTTATAACTTTAGAAGATTTCAGAGACTGTACAAAAAAATAAAGAACAAAATGTAAATATCATCAAGTTGACAAAATCCAGATTTTTCCCCCCCTTTAGGAACGTCAAAGAAAGCAGTGAAAGCACTTTGCTGAACAGTCTCTCTGACAGTATTTCTGTATTATCAGGTCCCCAAATCCAAGCTAGCTGGCAAAGTTTAGAAACTCTGCCTGGACTCTTCACCTGATTCCTCATCTACCTCTTGGCTATGGGACCTCCAGGGGCCATCTTGATTCCTGCCATTGGAGTAGTTATTGTTGTTATGCACCATCAAGTCACTTCAACTCACAGTGATCCTATGTACAACAGCCCTGAAACCTGTTCTATCCTGTGCCAACTTTACTGTCTCTGACACCTACCCTCATTATACCAGTCACTGAATCAATCCATCTCATTGATGATCTTCCTCTGTCCCTCCACCCTTCCAAGCATGATGTCCCTCTCCAAGGACTGGTCTTGCAACATGTCCAAAGTATGCCAGAAGAAGCCTCAGAATTCTTGCCTCCAAGGAGTAGCCTGGTCTCACCATTGGAGAGTATTCTATTTAACTAGTCATCTTAGTTTCAATATATTAATTTGCCTAAGACTTTTCCTGAGTTTTCATTTCAGTCCTGAAGGTTTAGTGTCTGTTATCATCCATGGAATCACAGTAACTGTGAAGGTCAAGGTTGTGTGTGTCATTTTGATTGTCCACAATTCTCTGGTTTGGGCAGTTATGATGTAGTTATTCTTTTGCTGATATTTGATATATTCACCTTCATGAGCAGTCACCAACTAGCAGCCAATCAGTTGGAAGAGCGTTCCCTCAGGGGTGTGGCTTGCATCACATACATATGGGCATTCTGACAGAACAGTTTTGCTTTTTGTTCAATCTGGAGTTTGCATCTGGCTCTTCAGCATCTGATTTCTGGTTCTTTAGACTAGAGCCAGCAGCCTACCATATTGCTTGCCAATCTAATCTTCTGATCTTGGGGTCTGCCAGCCACATGGACTTGGACTTTGCCTCTATAAGCATGTGAGCCATTTCCTCGAGATAATCAACCCCTCTCTCCCCTTCTCTCTCGCCTTTCTCTCTCCTCTTTCTCTTATATTCTCTCTCTCTCACACACACCACACACACACACATACACACACTCTAACACCCACACGCACTCCTTCACGGGTTTTATTTCTCTAGAGAATCCAGGCTAATATATCTCTAATCTCCCTCTCCATATTCTTTCCCTTCTCTAGTTCTCTATCCACACGCCTCGGACTGACAGGAGCCAACATTTACCTGTAGCAGCGGTCAGTGAGGGGCGTAATCACCAGCCGGGGGGAGTTGCCCAGGTACTCATAGCCATACAAGGCTTCTGTGGTTATCATCTGCACCTTCACATCTTTGGAATCCCAGTAGTAGCGCAGCTGGGAGATCCACTGAAAGTCGCTCAGATCAGAAACATTGTCCTCAGATAACTTGGCCACCACATCACGAGCTGTTGGACAAATATTCAGAAACACAGCTAAGTGGAGCCGCCAGAATCCTCCTGTCTTTACAGAGAGTTCAAGGAAGGCTACAGAGTTCATCAAGGTCACCCCTCCCTCACTAATTTTAGGCTCAAATCTGGTGGCCTGGTGGATAAGGGGTTGTGCTGTCAGCCCACAGTCAGGGGGTTCGCATCTACCAGTTCCTCCTCAGGAGAAAGATGGGTAATCTCCTCCAGTGTGACTACAGCCTCTGAGAATCCACTGGAGCGTCAGCTATGAGTTAGTTCTGACTCTGTGGCAATGAGAAAGAAAGAACTTCTTGTCAACCTGGAGGCACCAATGTCTCTCAGAAGCAGGCTTGCTTTCTTTTTTCTTCTTCTTCCTCAGGAGCGAGATAGAGAATTTTCTGGGCTGTATGTTCTCAGACAGCAGGATCAAGATGCAAACTCATTGTAGTTAAGTTGGAACTGACTCATAGCTGACCCTTCATTGGGCTTCCCCTGGTGTAAACTGCACAGGAGGAGACTGCCCATCTTTTCCCCCAAAAGAGCTGGTGAACTTGAACCTTTATGGAGGCATGGCCTTTGATTTTAGCAGCACATCTCCCTATAAACCAGACCCCGTGCTCTGAACTCAGATTGTCTGGGTCCCAGTTCTGGTTCCACCATTCTTAGCCATGTGATTCTGGGCAAGTTCTGTGATCGCTGTCTATCCCTTAATTACATAATCTGTAAAATGAAGACAGCATGATTACTACCTTAGAGAGCTAGGATTATGGGGATTTAAATATGCAGAGTAAATCCAAGTCATAGCAACACTACACTGGATGTTCCAGGCATAAATCTTAGCAGGAGAAGACAGCACATTTTTCTCCCATGGGGTGGCTAGTGGCTTGAACCTGAAAACTTTGGTGGGTAGCCCAACACATTATGCACTATACCACCAAGGCTTCTTATTATGAGGATTAAATATATGTATGTTAATCAGATATGTGTGTTTCTGCATACCAAAAAATTTATTTTGACATACAGCAAACCTAATTGACTGAGAACTACCACACAGGGTTTCCTAACCTCTAATCTTGACAGGTTTCATATGAGCACAGTCAGGTGTTCTGGGGTTCCCTTTCTTCTCAAGATTAGCCACAGATTGTTGTGATCTACACAGTCTAGCTTTTGCATAGTCAATGAAACACAGATATTCTTCTGGTATTCTTTGGTTTCTGCCAAGATCCATCTGACATTGGTGAAAATGTCTCTAGTGTCACAACCTCTTCTAAATTCAGCTTGTATTTCAGGTAGTTTCTCTGTTGATGTACTGCTCCAGCTGGTTTTGGATAATCTTCAGCAGGATTTTGCTTGCATGTAATATTAGTGATATTATTCGATAATTTCCACACTCTATTGGGTCTCAATGGGAGTAAATATCAATCTCTTCCAAGGAGTTGGCCAGGTAGTTGTTCACCATTATTTCCTGACACAACCTTGTGAGACAAGGGCAGAAGTTGTTTGTTGAAATATGTGTTCATATGAAACCTATACTCGGACCAAGAAGCAGTCCTCAGACAGAGCAAGGTAACACTATATGGTTCAAAATCAGGAAAGGAGTGGGTCAGGGATGTGTCCTGTCTCCATACTTTTTCAATCTATACGCAGACCACATCATTTGGGAGGCTGGGCTTTATGAGGAGGAATGTGACGCCAGGATTGGAGGAAGACTCATCAATACCTGCACTATGCAGATGACACATCGTTGTTTGCTGTATCTAAGGAGAAGCAGGAGCACTTACTGAAGAAGGTCAAGGACTGTAGTCTTCAATTTGGATTGAAGCTCAACATCAAGAAGACAAAGATTCTCACCACTGGGGCATTTTGACAGCATCATGATTGATGAAGAAGAGATTGAGGCTGTTAACAATTACAGCTTGCTAAAGCTTCACAATCAACACTCTTGGCACCAGCAGTCAGGAAATCCAAAGATGAACTGCACTGAGAAAGTCTGGTGTCAGAGACCACTTCAGAGTTCTGAGAAGCAATGATGTCAGTCTAGAGACTAAGGTGCACTCGAAATTACTTGTTATGCTTCAGAAAGCTGGACAATGACTAAGGATGACAGAAGAAGAATCAATGCCTTTGAGTTGTGGTGCTAGAGAAGAGTCCTGAACATACCACAGACCACCAAGAAAACAAATAGGTCTGTCTGTCTTGGTGAGGGTGAAACTGAGTTTCTCCTTAGAGGCTAGGATTTTGAAGCTCTGTCTTAAATACTTTGGGCACATCATACTTGTAAGACTGGAGGGACAGCGCAAGAGAGGAAGACCCCAGATGTGACGGATTGATACAGTAACTGGGGCTATGTGGGTAGGTGTGTTGGAGTCAGTGAGACTGTCTCAGGATGAGGCAGGCTTCAGAGCTATTGTCCAGACGGTTGCTATGAGTCACAGGCAACTCAACAGCACATAACAACAATAAAATCCCGATAGGAGCAGATGAACAGGACTTTTATCCTGCAGAGTACTAGTAGGTTGGAGCTGTTGATCTTTCTGTAAGCAGTTGAACACTTAACTCTCAATTGCTTAATTGCTAACACTAATATCTCTCTATGTATGTACACACATGTGAACACATTAAACTGTACTTTGCACATAACATTATATAAGGATTAGCCTCTGTTTTACTATTATTGTTGTTGATTATCTTCAAGCCGAGCACAACTCATCGTGACCCTATGAACAAAAGGCCTGAAGCCCTCTACAAGTATTGATATTTATCAAAGTTCATAGAGTTTCAGGAGGCTTGTTGCTTAGGAAGTGGATGCCACTCCTGCTTCCAAAACTGTCATAGTATGTATCCCCAAATTCTTAGAGAAGAGACCCATAGGTCTTTGCAATATATTGCTTTTCCAAATGCTGCCATCCCTATTATGATCTCTTTGGCTCTGTTCCTTAAGGGGAAGAAGATGCCATGAAATACCAGTAAGATGCTTGCTATGTGAGCAAGAGACACTGTTACCAGGCAACCAGTCTGGTCCAGCCCTAGTTTCCATGGTGATGATGGAGGGAGGATGAGGGGAGTGGTTCGTTTTCTATAAAGACCCTAGCTCTTCTTTTTCTCCTTCTCTTTTTTTTTTCTTTCTAAGGAATAACTGGAAGGCATCATCTCTCACCCTTAGGTTTGGAATCTGACAGACATAGGGTCAGGTTACAAAAGAGCCTTTCTGCTCACTAGCTTTGTGCCTCTCAGCAAAATGCATGCTTCTCTGTATCTCAGGGTTCTGATGTGTGAAATGTATGTTAAAAAACTGAGACAATGTGTGCCAAACGCCTTGTTTTGAATAACCTGATCATTCAGAAAGATGCTCTATCGTTTCTCCAAGGGAAATCACCTCAAGTTGGTGAATCGTAGAGCTGACGCTGGCCACTGCCGCCACAGCAAGAGGTCTCCTCGGAGCGCTCCTTGACATAACGAAGAGGATGAGGAAGGGGGATCGCAGCCCTTTGCTGTTGGCTTCTCTCTTTGCCCTTTCACTCTCCTCTCAGAGATGCCAGGAGACCCTGAGTCATTCCACTTAGGAGAAGGAAGGGGGCTCTGCCTGCCTGTTGTTTCTGGACAGTGACACCACGGGACGTCTCTGCTTACCGTGGACATCGATGACTGTGAGGGCGCCGAGTGTGAGCCGAGCCCCACTGCTCAGCTTCCCCCGCACCAGCTGGACAATCTGTGCAATCTGATCATTGCTCTTTTGCAGAAAACCCTGGAAAGACAATTAATCAAACTGGATTCTCCTCTGGTAGCCCCCACCTCAGGTCATGGCACCATCCACCACCTGATGACTCAAGCCATGCACTGAAGTGCTGTCACTCAAGGCCTCCTGTCCCTCAGCTTGCTATGATTAACTTCTAAATATGAACTTCCTTAATATGTTTCTCATTTGCTATTATCCTTTCTTCACACCAACACCACCATGGCCCACCACCCCATCTTGCTGGGATAGTTTGGAAGCTTGCTATCCCATCTTCCTGCATTATTTCTAGCCCTCTTTTTAATCTATTCACTTCCCAAAGTTTTTATCTCCTTATATTGCTCACCAGTGGGAAAGAATATTGCTTTGGTGTTAATAATACGTGAAATAATGATAAAGTATACAATCCCAAATTCTCCTCAACCCATAAGGAACTTGGGGCCACATGGCAAGCAAGTCGTCTGAAATCCAAGGAAATTTAAGTGGTTCCAAGGAGCTCGTCTCATTGGCAGAATCACTATGACATCAGAGTAATTTAGGTTGAGTGGTAATGGCAAAAGAGTAGACTGTGGAACAGACGGGAGGTCAGAAAAAGATCAATACACATATCGTCCCATAGGTTCCCCCTCATGCAATTGATTTTCAAGGACTGTATCAAACATAATTCTGTACAGAAAAGAGACTTTTAATTATTTTTAACAAGCAGTGCTGGCACAACCGAATACCCATATGCAAGATTAAAGAAATCCTATCTATACTTCATATCACATATCAAAAAACTGGATCACAAACCTAAATATAAAATTCAAAGCTACAAGATATCTAAGAGAAGATATTTTTTGTCATTGAAAGAGGAAAAATATAAATGCATTAATTTCATTTTTTAACATTAAAATGCCTGCTCTCCAAAAAAAATCAAAGAGGGGGGCACATTTATGAAAACTCCTTAGTAACAGGACTGGAAGCTAAGTGCATCTAAGTCTTGCCCTGTTGAGGACTGTCGTCGATGGCAGGAAGTAACTGCTAACAGATGTGCCTGGAGGCATATTCAGGGCAAATGAGAGATGCAGGTGCATAAGTGAACTTGGTTTCATGAGAGAGGTCTGAAGAAAGAGCTGGGGTGAAGGTGGATATGGGAAAGGGGGATGGTGAGCGGGGGATCCTGGTGGAGGTCGAGAAGAGAAGAGTATCACGTAGACTCTTGGTTAGGGAAGAGGACACGGTGGATTGGTGGATGTTTTGCCAGCTTGATCCCGAGAAGCAAAGAGGCCCCAACAGTGGAGAAATACTATATGGGAAGGAAGGCAAGGGGTCACGCACAGCAGCACTCCTGGGCAGTGTCAATTCCAAATTCTCCGCCCCACAGTCCCCATGACTGTTGCAAGACCATGGATCTCGATCATTTTTATTTCAAATACTTGACTACTGTAATTAGGTGTCCTGCAGAACCTCACTGAAGGGGTGACTTCCTTGTGCAAACTTGAAAACGGATTCACTTACTGGTAAGGTGTTATCAAGTATAGCTTGGGATACCTCCTGGGTCCAAAAGATGGAAGAGACACAGATAACTACCTGGCCAGGCCACTGTAAGACCCATTGATCACGAGAGACCTGAGGAAATGCAGAAAGGCAGACTGAGTGAAGTATAACTGTCGAGCAATTCATCTTAGCACATGACTTAAACTGCTTAAAACTGCCCACCCCCATGTCACTTGCACAAAAAATCCAAAGCCTTTCCCATCCTCAGATGCCACAGGTTTGGAATCTCTGGGATTACTGATTTATTCCACTTTTACTGTTTTGAAAGCCCTTTGTATCTGCTTTCACGATCCTATCTGGTAATTTTACCATATACAACAGTTCTCCTCTGCTCGAGGGTCTCTATGAGGTAGAATGGATTTGATAGCAGTGGGGTGCTTTGCTGGTTTGTTTTTGACATGAATTATGATCCAGGTGTTCTTCTCTTTCCAGGGAGTATTCACAATTGCTCTCTTTAGTGACTGCATCCCACAGGGATGTGCTGTGCCACAGGCTTCCCTCAGCCACACTTTCTGGTACACATCAGCAAAGCTGTGGCCTGAGGGTTACAGCTGGCTTGCAGTTTGATGTTGTAAATAAAGTTTTATTGTAACCCAGCTATGCCCACTCATGTCCATGTTGTCTATGGCTGCAATTGGTATGACAGGATATATGGCCTGCAGAGATGACTATATTTATAATCTGGTTCTATATTGATGAGCCCTAGGAAAGCTTGAGTGGCAAGAAGCTGTGCTGCAATCTCACAGGCACATGGTTTGGATCCACCAGCTGCTCTGTGGGAGAAGGATGGGCAATCTCTTCCTGTTCAATTAAATGCTTCTGATGTGTACATACCATGGACTGCCAAGAAAACAGAAAGGTCTGCCTTGGAGAGGGTGAAACCAAGTCTCTCCTTGGAGGCCAGGATTTTGAAGCTCCTTCTCACATACTTTGGACACATGGTCAGGAGAGACCAGTTCTTGGAGAAGGACATCATGCTTAGAAGGGTGGATGGATGGTGCAGGAGAGGGAGACCCCAGATGAAATGGATTGATACAGTGACAATGGGGGCTGGTATGTTGGAATTAGTGAGACCGGCTCAGCACAGGGAAGGGTTCACAGCTGATGTACACAGGGTCGCTATGGGTCATAGGCAACTCAACAATACATAACAACAACAACAACACAGGAGGGGAATGCTTAATTGGACTATGAGCTGTCATCAAATCAACTTTAGCTCATGGCTACTCAGGTGTGTCAGGGCAGAGCTGTGCTCCCATTGGTTGATTTTTCAGTAGCAGGTCTTTCTCCTGAGGTGCCTGTCAGTGAACCCCAACCTTCAACCTTCCAGTTAGTGGTGGGGAACATTAGCCCATTTGTAGCACTTGGGGATTCCTGCTGAATGGGGAGGGGCTCTAATTAAACCCCATCAATCCCAACCCACAGAAAGGACTAGTCAGTAGCAAGCAGAGGGTCCTGACAAAGAGTATTTTTGCCAAATTCTTCCAAAGGCTATTATCTCACCAGAAATATCTCAATCCCCTGGGATTCACAGGAAAAAGAAAATAAAGGGGCAAAGTTTTAGGTATCAACTAGGAGGAAAAGACAGGCTTAGGGAAAAGTCCAAGGAGCTGTTAGAATTGATCGGTTTAACCTTCTCTCCAAACTGCCGGGACCGCAAGCATCCATGCCCTAGCCCACAGCACTTATTTCTTGTTTACCTTGTCATAGGCTTCAATCCCAAGTTTAATGACCTCTCGAATACTGGCGAGCATCATCTGCTCCACCTGCTGGAGCCACTTCTCCACCATGCCCTGTGGGGCAAGAAACACACACACAGAGGCGGCCAGAATTAGCCCAAGTGCGGATGGAGGAACGTTGGGCATAGCCCAGCTCTACCTTGAGAGGACTGGGGGAGATCCCGGGCTGTTTTAATGACCCTTGAAAATGAATGTCTTAGGGAGCTTTGTGACTGGAACACTCAACTAGGTTCTGCTCCTGGAGATGTAAATGTTAGTGGTTTGGACCTGATTCCTGCTACCACCTCCAGTTTTAACTTGGTTGAAATGTATCCCACAAAATTTTGATATGTCATTCAGAGTGCAAAAGAACCTTGATTTTCAAGAGGCGTAAACTAAGGTTCAAAAGATGGAGTAACTCCCCAGAGTCACTCTGCTGTCATGTCAGGCTGGAAGTCCACAGTCACAGCCCAAACACTCCCTGCCTCTCCCTGTTACGTGCTGTTGTGGAGACAAGCACCACAAAGGTATTGAGGGGGATTACTTTGGCTTGAGCTGGGTAGACTTTCTGCTTGAATGGAACCACTTCTTTTTCTGAGCTTATCATGCCGTTGATTTCCAAGTGTTTAGTGAACTCCAGCCTGGAAATTCCCTCAAAGCACTTCTTCAAATGTGGCTGGACACGGAGGGGATCCTTTGTTTCAGACAGGATCTCCAGTAGCTCATCATTGGACAGGAAGAAGAACCTAATTCAAAGCAAGCGAAGGAAGATGGCAACAGGTACAATGTCCATGAACTGTTTCTAACAAAGTGATAGTCTCCAGAGAGCTCACACCGGGATTATTAGACATGCCCCAGGATTGACTTGAGGGAGCACTGGTGGTGCAGTTCGTTGGGAGTTTCAAGGCGAACCCAAAGACAATACCCCTTTGGTGGTTCAAATTCCCCAGCAGGAGAAATACAAGCCATCTCCCCTCATGTGATTCACCGCCTCTGAAAACCCACTGGAGGGTCAGCTATGAGTCGGTTCCAACTCAATGGCAATGAATTGAGTTTCAGAATCTCCTCTAACACCCACACCTTTGCCATTTCTTTTATTATTTTTTTTTCTTGTTGGGTACCATCAAGTCAGATCTGACAGGCACAGGAGGAGATTGACCCTCCTTCTCCAGAGAAGTAGAGCATCTGGTGGGTTCAAACTGCACACCTTTGGGATTACAGTGCAGGTTCTTGCCACTAGGCCACTAGAGCTCTCTAGCCATTTCTTTTCATCTAGCATGTAGATGTTATACTGCCTCAGAGAACAACAGTAAGCAGAAAAACAGGTATGTATGAGCCTGATGTGGCTGGAGTGTGGGGAAGGGTTATCAGGTGGAAGAAGCTGGGCTGGAGCATACTTACTGTGGAGCCTACAAAAATACCAATGCCAAGGCCTCGCTGTGCAGAGATTCTGAGAAAATTGATTATGGATTGGGTCTAGGCATGTACAGTTCTAAAACTCTGAAGACCTCAAAAAAAAATCCCCAAAGAACACCAAAGCCAAACTTTTCAAAGAAAAAGAAAGAATTCTGAAAGTCGTTCAGGAAAAAGGAAAATTTGTCTACAACAGAGAAGGAAGAAGACTGAGCTCTGGTTTCCTGTCAGAAATATATACGTGTGTGTGTGTGTGTGTGTGTGTGTGTGTGTGTGTGTACACACATGTACATATATACATACAGACACATATATACATACACATATACATACATATACATACACATATATACATACATACATACACATACATACATATATGCATACATATGCACCCATATATGCACATATATACATATACCTACACATATACATGTATACACACATATATACATACATACACATATACATATATACATATACAGACATACATATATATATATGGGCTGTGATATGACACATGTACAACTCAGAAAGAAAAATCTGCCAACCAAGAAGAAGACATCCAACAAAAGTGTCCCTCAGATATGATGGCAAAATGAGGCCACTCTCAAATAAACAGAAAGGAAAAGAATTTGTCAAAACCTGACCAACCTTCCCAATAATAAAGGGAATCTTTCAGGGAGAGAAGCCGTAACAGCAGGCAACAACTTGAGATTAGTAAACTTGACTATTCCACACAGACAGTGACTGAGACATGGAAGCATCCTGATAAGTGGTGTAGGCTGTAGGAAGTTGTGCTACAAACCCCAAGGCCATGTGTCTCCCTGGCAGTGCACATTCACCAGCACTTCCTTAGAGACAGATGGGATTCCCAGCCTTGGAACCTCAGTGGAGTGTCAGTTATGGCTCTGACCTGATGGCAATGAGTTTGGAGAAAATAAGCCTGTAACAATGAAAACTTGCTGTACACAGAGGTAACTCATGGTTGCTGTGAAGCTGAACACTGTGACACTGATGTGTCAAATGCGAGAATGGTCACCCATGGTGGACAGTGTTTGGTGAAGCTCCCCGATTAAAACAAACTTGGAAGCAGGAGTGACATCCAAGCCCAAAAATAGCTTGCCTCTGGAAACCCTATGAACCTGTAGAAAGGATGAAAGTTACACAAGTGTCCAGGTCTTTCATTCATAGGGTCATTATGAGTCACCTACAACTTGACAGCACTTAACAACAACAACACTGAAAACAAGGAACCAGAGATGTAAACTTTTAAATGAGGTTAACTACAAATGAAAAAAATAAAATAAATACTGTCATTATAGAACTTCCAAACACAGAGGAAGTCAAGACAATTTCAACTGTTTTAAACCAAGGAGGAAAAGAAAAAAAAAGGTGATAATTTGAAAGGAAATGAAGACATCTTTTCCTACTAAACATAAAAGAGGTAAATAATAAATATTCAGTAAAAACTAAAACAGAAAAAAAACCCCTAAAACAGAAGCAATGAAGAAATGATAATAAAACCCATAAACAAATTGAACTCAGCACAGAAAATGAAATGGAACAAAGAAGTCTGCAGCCCTACAAATACAGGGGTGGAGGGAATGGAGAGGGAAAGGGCAAATATTGCATTAAGACCCTATTGTGAAATCTGGAAGATAATTAAGCAAGTTATGTATGGATGGTCAAGAGGGGAAGAGTAAGGAGAGAAGGAAGGAAGGAAGGCGGAGGGGGGCTAGGATAGCAGATAATAATGGACCGATGAGGGGAGAAGGAATGAGATACACTGGGGACTTGAAGAGGCAGAGTGATAAAAGACATGGATCAATAATAACTATAGAAAACATAATGTATACAAAACAACTATGAGATATCATCTCACTTCAGTAACAATAGCAAAACTCAACAGAGCAGCAAACAACAAATGCTGGTGAAGTAGTGGAGAAATTGAAAACCTTATTCACTGTTGGTGGGAGTGTAAAATAATGCAACCACTCTGGAAGGCAGTATGGTGCTTTCTCAAAAAGTTGGAAATAGAAAGACCATTTGAGCCAACAATTTCACCACTTGGAATATACCCTAAAGAAATCAGAGCTGCCACTCAAACAGATATATCCATGCCTGTGTTTATTGCTGCACTGTTCACAATAGCAAAGAGCTGAAAACAACCCAAGTGCTCATCAACAAACAAATGTATAGAGAAGCTCTGGTATGCTCTCACAATGGAATACCATGCTGCATTGAAAAACAAGGAACTCATAAAATATTATAAAAAGTAGGTGACCCTGAACGACATTATGCTGAGTGAAATATCTCAGCCACAAAAGGACAAATAGTGTAAAATGCCACTGGTATGAAATAGGACTGATATAGTGGTTGGGAGGAAACTAAGAAAAGAAGGGATAAATAATGTAAATTGAAACAGACGACGGAAAGAACTGTTTAAAAGGAATATATAATTTGGTATTATTTGTATAACAACCATCCAGAATAAGAGGTGTATATCAAAGTGTACCAATCGGTAGCATCAGGATGGATGGCGAAGAGATTGAGATTGTTCACAGCTTCAGTTTGCTCGGCTCCACAGTCAACACTTTTGGCACCAGCAGCCAGGAAATAAAAAAAAACATACTGCGATGGGAAAGTCTGCTGTTAGGGACCTCTCTAAAGTACTCAAGAGCAACAGTGTCTCTTATACAGGCCATGGTCTTTGCAATCACTTGTTATGCATCAGAGAACTGGACAATGACTAGGGAGGACAGAAGGAGAATTGACACCTTTGAGCTGTGGTGCTGGAGAAGAGTACTGAATGTACCCTGGACTGTCAAGAAAACAAACAGATTCATCCTAGAGAGGGTTAAACCAGGCTACTCCTTGGAGGCAAAGATTCTGGGGCTTCATCTGACATACTTTGGACATGTTGTAAGGAGAGACAGGTCTTTGGAGAGGGACATCATGCTGGGTAGAGTAGAGGGATAGCGCAGGAAGGGAAGACCCTCTATGAGGTGGATTGATTCAGTGACTGGGGTAATCAGGATGGGTGTGTCAGAGGCAGTGAGATTGGCTCAGGATAGAGCAAGGTTTAGGGCTGTTGTACATAGGGTCACTATGAGTCGCAAACGATTCAACGGCACATAACAACAATAACAACAACATCAAAGTGGACTGAGGGGGGGGCGGGAGAAAGTTGTGACAACAACGAAAGAATTTTTTTAAAGAGAAAAGCAAACTGGAGTGGGGGAAGGGGTAGAGAAGAAAGTGTGCAACAATGAAAATTCTCAGTAAACTTTCATTAAAATCTCAATAAAATGTGTTTTAAAACCCCAAAACCAAAAATGTATATGTACAATACACAATGTACATGAATGAAACACAATGTGAAAAAAGAAAAAACTTTTGAATAAATAGGTTGGGGGAAAGGAAAGGAAATAGAAAATAATAGGTGAATTGAATAATGTCATTAATTAATTATAATTAGGGTTATAAAACAAAAAGTATATGAAAGAATCAAAAAACAATATGGTTTATAAATTTTCACTCAAAAATTTAATAAACAATATACACAACAAGGCTGCACAGTGGAGTGGACTTGGGGGCAGGGAATGTATAGCAATGAAAGAATTTTTTTTTACTTTTCAAAGAAAAGAGCAAACGGGAGGAGAGGTGGGCAGGGAGAGAAGTACAACAATGAATGAATGGCAATCCAAAGTCTCCCTAAGCTTTCATTAAAATTAATAATAAAAAATTTTAAAAAAATCATACAGAGCAAAATAAAAAGCAAAAAGTTCATACGTGATAACAATTACACTGAATGCAAATGGGTTAATGTGCACCAGTCAAGAGAATACATAGAACAATTGGATAAGGAGACAGAATGCATCAAAATGCTGTCTACAAGAGATACACCTTAAATACAGAGAGCAAAAATCAATGAGTGGGGGAAAATACATGAAGCAAATGATAATATTTTTAAAGAAAGCAAGAGTGTCAATATAAATTTTTGATAGAATAAACCTTAAGACAAAAACCCAGCAAACAGGATAAAGGACATTATCTGGTGACCTAGTGGTAACAATCTGCTCTGCAATCCCAAAGGCACACAGTTCAAGGCCACCAGCTGCTCTGTAGGAGAAGGATGGGCCGTCTCCCATGTGATTAACTGTCTCTGAAAACCTACTAGAGGGTCAGCCATGGGTCAGTTCTGATTCTACAGTACACAACACAACAACAACAATCCTATCCAGTGCAACAAAGCGGGAGGGGGGATTAAAAAGCATCCAGAAGAAGAGACAAATCTGTGTTGGAAGAACAGTCAGAATTCTCCATCGACGCTAGGACAGCAAGACTTTTCTCGCACTTGGGACATGTCATCATGAGGTACCAGTCTCTACAAAAGGATATCATGCTTTTACAGTTGAGAAATGAGAAAAGGGAAGATCCTCAATGAAACACATTGACACAATGGATGTAACAACAGACTCAAACATGGCAACAACTGCAAGCATGGTGTGGGCTGGGGCGGTGTTTTGTTCTAGGCTATGTAGGGTTGCTGAGAGTTGGAATGACTTTCACTATGACAATTTTCCAGTGGACGGTCTGAGGCTGAGACAGAATCGTTGAAGATCTCATAACCTATAAGATGAAGAGATGTAACCTGAATCAAGTCTAATTCCAAAAGCTCTTAATCATGACTACTAATAACCTCTTCCCTTGGGAAATGACCATGGCTAGTTGGCCAAAGTGTGAATTTGGTTCCCCGTGGTTTCAATTTCACTCTTAACAATGACCATGAATATAAGTCTCATCACTTGTAGCTGTTTCTGAAGGAATAACCAGCTGAGAATCCGAGGATACTATGGTAGAAACCATTCCTCAGGATGAAAAATGCAGCTACTCCTGCACATGGGTTAAGACTAGTGGCCAGGTGGCAAGAAGCTGCGCTGCAATCCCAAAGGCGCTCAGTTCGAATCCACCAGCTGCTGTGCGGAAGAAGGACTGGCAACCACCTCCTGTGTGATTAACAGCCTCTGCAAACCTCCTGGGGGGTCACCTGTGAGTCAGTTCAGACTCAATGCTACACAACAATAACAACATGGGTTAAGAGAGCACCTTTAAACAAGAGTAACACTAAACACCTGGGGAAAAATAGTCTCTTCTTCTCCAAGTAATCATTTAGCCCTTTTTGGATGTCATCCAACAGAAGATTAGCTTCATGAAGCTTCTTGCTCATTCTGGGCTGGTCAGCTGCCATCAGAACCCTGGCGTCTTTCATCTGCGTTCAACCAAGACAGAAAACAATCACCAGGAATTCCTTCTCTTACATCAAAACCATTATTCCAGGTACTGAATATGTCATTAGTTTACTTTAATATGTCATTTTTCATTTTAATATGTCATCAGCCTATCAACCAATGACTTTCCTGGCGAGGTAAATACCTCCTCAATCTTACTAGGGTGAATTCTTTTTTTTACTTATTTTTTTATTTTTATTTTATTTTATTTTGCTTAATGGCAAGAAGCTGTGCTGTAATCCCAAAGGCACACAGTTTGAGACCACCAGCTACTCCACGGGAAAAGGATGGGCAATCACTTTCTGTGCTATTAACTGCCTCTGAAAACCCGCCAGGAGTCAGCTATGGGTCGGTTCCCACTCTATGGTACACAACAACAACAAAAATAAACTTTTTTAAAATTTTATACCGGTTTACTTACAAAGTCCATATACATTGTTTTTCACACCAGATATTTTCCATTTCCTTTAGCCATCCCTCACTTCACGCATCAAATTGTGGAACCCTATGATTAATATACACACATACCCCATCCTTACCTTTCTTTCATCCTTACCTCCCCTCTCCCCCACTTAGATCCTCATACTCATTCGACAATAATGGTCTTATACAGTATTAGTCCTTAAGGGACTGAGTTAGTTCACTTAGCATAATACTCTTCATTCCCTCCCAAGTTAGGTAGTGATTTACAAAATCATTGCTCCTGCATGCTGTGAATGTACCAGAATGTCTCAATCCATTCCATTGTGGTTGGACAATTCTATTTTCACGTTCTTGCTATGGTGAATAATGCAGCTATGAACATACCCAGAGTGGACTATTGGCACTTATATGACATGATCCTTTCTTTCTAGCTTTGGTCAACTAAGCCAGGGTCAAGAATCTCAAGTAAACTAAGTCAATTATACATAAATTCTGTTGTTGTTGTTGTTATGTGCCGTTGAATTGCTTGCGTCTCATAGCGACCCTATGTACAACATCCCTAAACCCTGCTCTATCCTGTGCCAATCTCACCATCTCTGACACACCCATCCCAATTACCCTAGTCACTGAATCAATCCACTGCATAGAGGGCCTTCCCTTCTGGCGCTGTCCCTCCACCCTCCCAAGCATGATGTCCCTCTCCAAGGACCGGTCCCTCCTTACAACATGTCCAAAGTATGTTAGACAGAGCCTCAGAATCCTTGCCTCCAGGGAGCCGCCCGGTTTAACCCTTTCCAGGATTAATCTGTTTTGTTTTCCTAGCAGTCCATGGTACTCTCAATACTCTTCTCCAGCACCACAGCTCAAAGGCATCCATTCTCCTTCTATCCTCCTTGGTCATTGTCCAACTCTCTGATGCATATCAAGTGATTGCAAAGACCATGGCCTGTATCAGATGCACCTTAGTCTCGAGAGTGACACCATTGCTCTTCAGTACTTTGGTGAGGTCACTAACAGCAGACTTTCCCATAGTAATATGTTTTTTTATTTCCTGGCTGCTGGTGCCAAGAGTGTTGACTGTGGAGCCGAGCAAACTAAAGTTGTGAACAATCTCAATCTCTTCACCATCCATCCTGATGCTGCTAATTGGTCCTGTGGTGAGAATCTTTGTCTTTTTTATATTGAGCCTCAATCCACACTGAAGGCTGCAGTCCTTGACCCTCTGCAGTAAGTGCATGAAGTCCTCCTCAGTTTCAGCAGCAAGGTTGTGTCATCTGCATAACGGAGATGCCACACTTCTCATAGAGCCCAGCCTCCCAGATAATCTGTTCTGCATACAGGTTGAAAAGGTAGGACACACCTCTGGCATACACCCTTCCAAATTTTGAACCATTCAGTGTTTCCCTGCTCTGTTCTGACTGCCTCCCTCCTGGTCCAAATATAGGTTTTGCATTAGCACGATCAAGTGTTCTGGAATGCCCATTCTTCTCAGAGTCAGCCAGTTTGTTATGATCCACACAGTCAAATGCCTTTGCATAATCAATGAAACACAAATAGACATTCCTCTGGTATTCTCTGCTTTCAGCTAAGATCCATCTAATATTAGCTACAACATCTGTAGTACCACGACCCCTTCTAAACCTAGCCTGGACTTCTGGCAGTTCTCTGCTGATGTGCTGTTCCAGTTGTTTTTGGATAATCATCAGTAGAATCTTGCTTGCATGTGAAATCCATGACACTGTTCTGTAGTTTCCACACTCTGTTGGGTCATCCTTCTTCGGAATGGGAAAAAATATAGATCTCTTCCAGTCAGTTGGCCAAGTGGTTGTTTTCCAGATTTCTTGGCACAACTTGGTGAGCACATCCAGGGCAGCATCCATTAGCTGAAATACATCAATTGGTATACCATCTATTCCTGGGGCCTTATTTTTTGCTATTTCTTTCAAAACAGCTTGAACTTTTCCCTTCATCACCCTAGGCTCTTGGTGATATGTTGTTTCATTAAATTCTTCTTTGTCTGCCAATTCCTTTTGATACGGTGGCTCTGTATATTCTTTCCATCTTCTTTTAACACTTCCTGAATCATTTAATATTCTGCCTAAAGCATCCTTGATTATAGCAACTCCAGGTTTGAATTTTTCTAGGAGTATGAAATTCATGCTATAGCATTCTATTCTGGTCTAGATTGGTCCCCTGAAAGGGAGGATTTTGGAGTTGAGTGAAGGCCATCTTCCACCATGGAAGATTCAAACAGGCATGGTAAAGGGGGCAGGGATTAGAGGCACTAAGGGAGAGGGCACTCTCAATTTCTGATAGGTCTCTGGGTTCCAAATCCATTGCTTGTGACCTTGGTCTGTTATTTTCTACGTTTGGATTCTACTCATTCAGCTGTGTTGTTGTTGAGCTGCCCTGAATGGGGTTCTCTTACTAGCAACTAAACAATCTTAATGTGGAGTTGCTCAAAGTGTGGCATGATGAGAATTGGTTCCACTGGTTTGGCAGGTAAAAATTCCCATTTTATTGACTCCTGAAAATTACCAGGAAACATACACTCATTTGAGACAAATTCTTTAGAAATGTGCCCCAAGAGAAGTACAGCTGGCTTAAAAGAAAAAAGAAAGAAAAAATATAGGAACTTGTCAGTACATACATCTAAGACCCTGGTAAAGTCCTCATCCTTCAAAAGTTGGTTCCCAAGCCATCTCCTTTGGAGATCTTCCCTATGGTCCTAGGAAACGAACTCATTCTATTCAATTTACACGAAAAACTATACGGACTTCACTGTAACTCTTAGTGGTCACATCCTGTTCCTCCTGCAAGACAGTGAATTCTATGAAGACAGAAGGAATGGTGTAGTAATCTTCAAATATTTCCTGACTCATTGTAGGTCCTAGCACTAGTGGGGCACGTGACCTAGACTAGGCATGGAGGAAAGCATAACCGAGGCATCATTCTTGGAACTGCTTATGGAAGAAGAACAGGAATTCACAAAGGTTTGTGCAAAGGCATGGGAATGTGAGAAAGCATGCTGAATTCAGAGAACTGAAGAAAACATCTCAGTACAGGATGTTAACTTCAGTATGAAGCAGGAGGTGAGATGAAGGTGTGGATCAAGCAGCACTGAAGGTCCTAGAGTTTAAAAGTTATCCTGGAGGGAGCTGTGGTGGCCTAGTAAGTAAAGAGTTGTGCTGTCAACCCAAAGGCAGGCAGTTCAAATCCACCTGCTTGTTGCTCCACAGGAAGATGGGCAATCTCCTCTCATGGGATTAATAGCCTCTGAAAACCGAGTTGATTCTGACTTCACAGCAATGAGTGAGTGAAAGTAGCTTCAGAATTCTTCTGGGGTTCTTCATTGTTCTGAGCATTAGTTAGGGACACAGAATCCAATCTGATTGTTGCTTTTAAACAAAAAAGAAAAAAAAATCCCACCCCACCAATAAATGTTAACCTGGAAGCAGCCAGGAGTCATTTAAGAATCTGAAGCGTGTATGACTGATGTTATTTATGTTTTAAGAAGTCTGCATTAATAGGAATGCAGAGGATGACTTGGAGGGGTTAAGTATGGGAACAGGAGTCCAATGAGAGGCTCTGACAGTTTGATAGAGACAATGTCCACAGAATTATGAATGAAAGAAAATAGCTTTCCCTGGTGGACCAGGGGGTCGTGCTGCCAGTCCAAAGGCAGGCAGTGTGAACTTGTCAATTCTGAAGAATAAAAACAGGCACGCTCCTCCTGTGAGATTTACAGCCATTAGGAATCTGCTGCAGGGTCAGGTATGAGTTGGCACGGACTCCACAGCAATGAGTTTGAGGGCTTTTTAAAAATACATACTGAAAGGGAGCTTTGGTGGCCCAGTGGATAAAGAGTTGCACTGCCAACCCAAGGGCAGGCAGTTCAAGATCAGCAGCTGCTCCAAGAGAGAAAGATGGGCAGTCTCCTCATCTGCTATTTATAGCCTCTGACAACCTGCTGGAGGTTCAGCTGTGAGTCAGTTCTGACTTGACAGCACATAACAATAACAACAATGGTGCAAGGCTTGGGTTATCCCAGCTACTGAATAAACATTTGATGAATGGCTGTGTGGTGTCCACAGGTAGTTATTTGACTTCTAAAAATGCACTCAATTGATAAAAGCTTTACTGCATTGCCTCGTAACAAAGTTTTACTTTATTAGAAATGATAACGGAATAGTATAAACTTTCAATAAAAGTTTGCCTCTAGGGAGGCCAGATTTCTCTATTCCATATTTCTATACTTGAATTTTAATAGCAGTGATAACTTTCACAATGAGCAAAAAAGATCTAAAAATATTATACTTTTATAAAAATATCGTATCATGAGTCACCTACTACTCAATGGCACTTAACAACAACAAAAACAACATCATCCAGTCTACACCGGAGTTTCAAGTTACAAAGCTCCAGGCGGGGACACCTCTCCGGCATCCCGCTTCTCCACAGGTCAGGTCTGCTAGGGGATGAATACTTACTGCTTGGGACATGATTGACTTCCAGTTACCATCAACGATGGCGAATTTCCTGCCCTCTTCTGGCATCTGGGCTATGATGTCCTCTGAACTGAAGATGGGCTCCAGGTATAGCCACGTGGCTTGGCATTTCAACCAAGCATCCAAATTTTCTTGCACACAAAGGAGCTTTTCTTCCCACTTCTGTAAATGTAGCATTTTATATCTAAGTCAATAACCCATCATTTGCCTCACAGGCTCCTGGGCTGAACAAATGAATGGTTGGATTCATTCACTCACTCACGCATCCAACTAATACTTATCGAGTAATCTCTATGTTCTGGGCACTACCATCGGTACTCTGGATACAGCATGAAATAGTCAAGAGTCCTAATTGTTAACAGAGCTTATATTCCGGCAGCAACAGAGCTGTAAATGCTTACTGTGTGCCAAGCACCGCTCTGGGTGCTTTATAGACGTGAAGCCACGTCAGTCTTCACAACAGCCTCATGACACAGCTGATGATCACAAGCTTTGCTTCATGGTTGCAGAAACTGAGGCACAATAATTCAAGTACTTTGCCTGAGGTCATGTAACTAATTTGTGTCAGAGCCAGAGCCCAGCTATTCTACCTCTAAATCTGTGCCCTTAACTTAATGTAACTTCTCACAAAATGTAAGCAAAAGGGATTTGAAAAGAAAAAGGAAATAATCCCTACTATGATATAGGTCCCATTTGAAACGATTATAGCCCCTAGGATAGGCAAATAATTCCCAAATGTATTTTCATTTGGTGCACTGAAACATATCTTCTGCACTTTGGACGGACTGCGGCTGTAAAGGCATCCACCCTCACAACTGGGTGGTCACTGCTTTCAGCCTTGTGCTGTTTATTTATTCTGTCTGTATTTATTCTAATCAGGAGAGAGTGAATTGTATTGTTAGCTGAACTTGAAAAACTTCAAACCTCCTCAGAGAATCCCAGGGCTAACAGGACATCACAAAACACTCGACTTCACTTCCTCTTACCCGGCATTCTGCTTCTATTGGCTTGATGAACGGTGAGCCACACATGGTCTGAGTCTTTAAAATGTGATCATCAAGCAGCAGCTGAATGTCGTCAACGGCACACAAGATGCTGGTTTCCTGCAAAGAAAGACGCCCCGGTCAGTGGAAGAGAGGCTGACCCTCAAGGAAATGAACTGACAGTGAGCCTGTAACAACTGTTGTTGTTGTTGTTAAGTGCCGTCGAGTCACAGGCAACTCATAGCGACCCTATGAAGGAGAGTCCTCGACGCTTGGGTGCCTTTCATCCTCTCTCCAGGTTCATAAGGTTTCTGGAGGCAAGCTGTTACGGAAGTGGATGCTGCTCCTGCTTCCATGTAACAACTAGAAGGCACCTAAAAACAAGTACTCTCAAAATCACGACATCTCCATTCTTGTTAAAAAAAAAATTAGTGTGTGTGTGTGTGTACCGTCACATTGAATCTGACTGGTACAGGAGGAAATTGTCCCTCCCTCTCCAGCAGAGCATCTGGTGGATTTGAACCGCGAACCTCTGGATTACAGTGCCGTTTCTTGCCACTAGGCCACCAGAGCTCCCTGAGACCTCCATTCTTGATGCTTAAACAGAAGGTCTCACAGTTCAGATCTCCACCCAGGGGGACAGGAATCTGTCTTGTCGAGGACAGAATTACTGTTTTCTTCCTTCAAAGTGTTCTTCAATACATTTATTTTTTACTTTGTGTACAGAAAACAAAGCGTAGGCACAGACACTACTGGATGCCTCTCTTCCCTGGGCTTCTCTCTTTCGCCCACTTGTTCATGCTTCTCCCTCCAGAAGCATCGCCTGATAATCTGACTGGTTTGCTTGAGATCTGTGGTTCCCCAACTTTGCATAAGGTGCCCTAGGCACTGAAGCAAATTCACAGTAAATAATTTCTTTTTTTTTAAAAAAAAAAAAACAAAACCAAACCCAAACGCTAGAAAGAGTATTATTTTCTCAATTTATGTATATATGTATTTTTTCAAATAGATGCTGATAGGGTATAAGTAGCTATCAACTTGTTTAGACATTTGTTGTTGTTGTTATGTGCCGTGGAGTCGTTTGCGACTCATAGCGACCCTATGTACAACAGCCCTAAGCCCTGCTCTAGACTGTGCCAATCTCATTGCCTCTGACACACCCATCCTGAGTACCCCAGTCACTGAATCAATCCACCTCGTAGAGGGCCTTCCCCTCCTGCGCTGTCCCTCTACTCTACCCAGCATGATGACATAGTTACTTAATAAATAAAACTTTTATGTACATCTCTTGGCTTAGACACAAAAGTTTGGGACGCTCTGCCTGTACACTTAACCATATGGCACACTGGTTAAGCACTTGGCTGGAAGATCAAGTTTAAACCTACCAGACACTCCAAAGGACTAAAGATCTAGCCATTTACTCCGACAAAGATTAACATTTAGGAAACTCCATGGGACAGTTCAAGTCTGTACTCTAGGGGTCCTATGAATCGCCCTCATCTCTATAGCACACACTCACAATAACCCTGTGCGTTAAGGTCAGCCTTTGTGGACTGCAGTCTTCTTTCAACTCAATTTACAAGACCATCTCACTCTGGTTTGGATTTGCATGTCTCTGATGGCTAAACACACGGTGCATATCTTTTCATATGTCTGCTGGCCATCTGAAAGGATGCTTCTTTAATGAAGCATCTATTCATGTCCTTTTTTATTTTTGATTGAGTTATTTGCCTTTTTGTTGGTAAGTTGTATATATTTTCTAGAAATCTTTTTAATTATATTGGGGTTGTGTGTGTGTGTGTGTGTGTGTGTGTGTGTATACCGTCAAATTGGATCTGACTGGTACAGGAGGAGATTGCCCCTCCTTCTCCAGCAGAGCATCTGGTGGATTTGAACCTGATACCTCTGGTATTGCAGTGCAACTTCTTGCCACTAGGCCACCAGAGCTCCCTGTTTTCTAGAAATTTTATATAATAGAGACTTATCCGTTATATCATTCTCAAAGATTTTTTTATCTCAGTCGCTTTATTTCTCATGAACATAAATATTTAAGGTCTGGTTACCGTTAGTGTGGTCTTTCTGATTTTGGTCCCTTCAAGTCTACATCTGGCTGGATTCTACTTCTTACCAGTAACTTTGCAGTAGAAGACTTGCCTGGTTTTGCTGCTAATCCTTGTCCACAGCTATGAGCATGTGAAAAGGTCCTCCAGTTTAACAATCTCAGCCCAGGAGGCTCTAAGAACTAATCCAATCAGATGAAGTAGCAGCAATCTTAAAGGAGATGGTACCCATGGAGGCCTGTCTCGCTGAAAGAGGTCCAGACACCAGCCTAGCTGCTCCCAGCTCTCACCTTTCCCATAATTAGCTCATGCATAGTTCTCATCCAAAGTGAAATCCAGATAACATGACTACTGAAAGTGAAGAGGAAAGAAGTCACAAGAGACTAGCACGCAGCCTGGAAAATGAGAGGAGAGGTGTTCTCAACCCAGGCCACACAGCAGAAAAACCAGGCACCTTCAGAATGTGCAGGCACCAGGGCTGGAGGGACCAAGGAAGAATCAACTGGGATTTTCCCCCATAATGCTGTCTTGAGGATTACACAACATGAGTTCCAGCCTGTTGCCTCAATGCAGTAAATACGTCCACCTCAAGAACAAGCCCAGATCTTAGGGAGAGCTGGGTAAACACTTCTGGTTTATGCCCTTAATGTTCCCTACAACAGCCAACAAAATGAATCAAGTCTAACAACCAACCAATTACCATTCAGGCGATTAGGACTCATGGCCACCCTACAATAAAAAGGTTAGGAGTTCAAATCCACCCAGAGGTGTCTTCAAAAAAAGGCATGGTGACTCCTTTCCAAAAAAACCCCCACTACCGCAAACACCATGGAGCCTTTTTCTTCTTTGACAGACATAAGACCATTGTGAATGAAGTTTAAGCAAAACACAAAAAACACCCCCCCCCAACCTATTGTTATCAAATTGACTTGGACTACAGTGACCCCATAGGACAGTCAAATGGTCCCATAAGGTTTTCAAGGCTGTAATTTCCAGTGGTCTATTGGCAAGAAGCTATGCTGCAATCCTGCAGGCACTTGGTTTGAGGCTACCAGCTGCTCTGTGAGAGAAGGATGGGCAATCTCTCCCTGTGGGATTAACTGACTTTGAAAATCCACTGGAGGGTCAGTTATGGGTCAGTTCCAACTCTATGGTACAATACTAGACTCTAAGGAAGTGGACTGACACATCTTTCCACTGCTGAGCTAAGTTTACACCCTTAACATTTAAAGACCATAGTTCCACCATCACCTGGGAGCTTGTTGGAACTACACCACCGCAGGCCCCTCCCAAGTCTGAATAAGAACCTGGATTTGACATGATCCCCAAGCGGTTCCTATGTATATTGTCTTATGAGATGTGCTAGTCTAGACCCTTGCTGCCCAATCACGCTTCTGCAGAACAAAAGCTGAGCTCTCCTTGGCTGGCATTAATTCAGGGAGCCATCTCATCTCTGTTACCCTGAGAAAACGCATCTCTGTGTGTGTGTGTCTCTCTCTCTCTCACGCTGTCTCTCTCTCTCTCTGTCTGTGTTTCTCTGGAGCTCAAGGCCTTCCTGAAGTGAAAATGCATCTCTAAGTGGTGATTGAGAGATGGTAACTGGGCCCAGAGGGCAGGTGGAAGGAAATAATTTAGATATCAGGGATTAATCCGTTTTCATCTCCACTCCACTCCACTCCACTCAACTCATTGTCTTTGAGTCACAGCTGGCTCTCCAGTGGGTTTTTGGAAGCTGTAAATCACTTGAGAGGAGATTGCCTGTGTTTCTCCCGTGGAGCAGCTGGTGGATTTGAACTGCCAGAGGGGTGTGGCCTTGGCATAAACTGCACAACTCCCTAGGGACTACCCACTTCCGTAATCTACTATATAAAACCCCCAGGAATGATTTCAGGGAGCCAGACAGTCAGATTCTGACTCACAGTATCTCTGTATTTCACAAAGTTGAATGTCATGTTGATCCAGTCCAATTTCATTTTCTCCAAATTTTTCTCCAAGGTGTATTCTTTACTGGCGATTGCTCCAATGGGTTCCAGTCTAGAAAGAAAACACAACGGTAGCATTGACAACAGAAGGAGCAGAGAAGACATGCCCAGGGAGGTATTTCAGTTCAGCTTTCAGAGGAATTCAGAAAGGTGGGCGCTGGTTTTACGAGAGTGTTTATTATCACCATCTACAGTTCTCTGGCTGCCACTGTTGCTTTGTAGGGTTTCTTATCCTCAATTGATTGACATTTGGGGCTGGATAATCTGCTATAGGGGTATATATCCTGCACACTGTAGGACATCCAGCAGCACAGGAAACCCGTGGGGCAGGTCTACTCTGTTCTACTGAGTCACTACGAGTTGGAACCAATAGACAGTGGGTTTCTTTAATGCACCACTGCATGCTGGTACCATAATGCAGTCATTTATCTGTTGATGGGCACTTAGATATTCCCATATGTCTTCGTTATCTAGTGCTGAGAAGAGTTTAGGAGGCTCTAAGCCCAAATTAATTGGTGCTAGCTCCAACAGATGCACTGCATTAGGAAAATCTGCTGTCAGGGACCTCTCCAGAGTGCTGAAAAGCAATGATGTCAGTCTAGGAACTAAGGTAGGCCTAATCCAGACCATGATCTTCACAATTACTTATCACGCTTCGGAGAGTTGGACAATGACTAAGAATGACAGAAGAAGAATGCCTTTGAATTGTGGTGCTGGAGAAAAGTCTTGAACATACCATGGACTGCCAAGAAAAGAAATAGTTCTATCTTGCAGAGGGTGAAACAACCTTTCTCCTCGGAGGCTAGGAATCTGAAGTTCCATCTCACATACTTTGGGCACATGGCCAAGAGAAACCAGTCCTTGGAGAAGGACATCATGCTCCGAAGGGACAGTGTAGGAGAGGAAGACCCTGGGTGAGCTGGATTGATACAGTGACTGGGGCAATGGGGGTTGGTGTGTCAGAATTTGTGAGACTGGCTCAGGACAGGGCAGGCTTCAGAGCTGGTGTACACAGGGTCGCTATGGGTCACAGGCGACTCAACAACACATAACAACAAGCTCCAAAAGAAAGACTTTTCTTTCTATTCCTCTTGTTGTCATTTATCTTCGAGTCAAAGCTGATTCACAATTGACCCTCCACAGGTTTTCAGAGGCAGTAAATCACAAAGGAGGAGACTTCTGTGGAGCAGCTAGTGGATTTGAACCATGTGCCTTTGGGATGACAATGCAGCACCCTACCAGGAAGCTATGAGAGGTCCTGTTTCTTCTATGTCTCTAGGTACTAGGTATTTTTCAGTGCAGGAACTCTGGGTCCAAAGATCCAGTTTCCAATTCTTCTTTCATGGTGGTAGTAGGTCCTTCTGACCTCTGCTCATTCCTCTCTCCTTTTATGTCACAGCCTCCTGTGAAACTGGCTCTAGAAACCATCAACTCAAATAGCACAAACTCTAGAACACAAATTCCCTCAGAGCATGTGCAGAGAAGAAGGGGTATAGCCAGCAGTCTGCTACTCAGAGAACTTGAAACATATTTTTTTTCCTTTGAAATCAAAACCCTTGACTCAATTATCTACTCACAGCCTGCCATCAGATCTACAGTGGAAAGTCAGGCTTCATCAGTAGCTAGTTGGCCAATGTGGAGGTTCCTCTTTCAAGATCAAATAATTTTGTGCTAGCATTGTGTGTGTGTGTGAGAGAGAGAGAGACAGAGAGAGAAAACATGTGCTTTCAGTAATGATATTTTAAATGAAATGGAAGAACATTTTTTAAGTAATAATGGATTTTGATACCTTTAAAGGGACACTTATGTCCTGAAGGAACTCTGGTTTAAGGGTGAGATGAGATCCCTTTCTTTAGATCCATGCAGTTATATAGTCCCCCACCAGATGGCAGCACACACTATAAGTGGGATTCCAGGTTCCCACTAAACTCCAGATGTGTAAATGTAGATGGGTACTACTATGCCCCACAAGTTATAAACCTACTGCTGTTAAGTTGAATCCAACTCACAGTGGCCTTGTAGGACAAAGTAGAGCTACCTGATAGGGTAGAGTAGCTGGCTGGTTTGAACTGCTAATCTTTAGGTTAGCAGCTAAGTATTTAAACACTGTATCACTGGCACTCCTTTTTGAAAAGCATCATAAGTCACCTAACCCAGAAGGAAAAAAGTCTGATATGAGGCCATCATATCACTGTATGGTCTTACACCCTTAGTGGTGCAGCAATTAAGAGTCTGGGTGTTTGTGAAAGGTCTGTGGTTCAAACCCACCACTTGCTCTGCAGCAGAAAAGATGTGGCACTCTGCCTGCACAAAGATTACAGCCTTGGCAACCCCACAAGGACAGTTCCACTCTGCTCTGTGGGTCACCACCACTTGGATTTGACCAGATAGTAATGGACTTGAGTTACAAACACTTGGATCAAGAAAACCCCTCAAGGGAACTGAGGAGCCTTACTTATCAATGAATTTGCCGAATCCAATCTCCAGCATATTTTGGAGGCAAGTTGTTTCGTTGGGCTTTATTTCACAGCCAACAATCTCACTGATCTGCAAAGAAAAGAGGGAAATGAATGTTTATCATTCATGGTTGCCCATGAGAATCTTCTGCAAGGAAAGAAATGCTCAACACAGTGGTCACGGTGTCTGCTGTGCAGAAAGACCTGAGGATTAAAGTGCATTTAATTTCGTTTTATCTAACTTAAAAGTTAAATTAAAAAAAAATAGTTAAATTTAGCTACACACCACTGCTCTGTACTTTCAGGCTCATAGCGACCCCACAGGGCACGGCAGAACTACTCCATAGGACTTCTAGGCTATCATCTTTATAGGGGCAAATCCAAAAGGTCTTTTCTTGCACAAAGTCACTGGTGGACTTGAACTACCAAACTTCTGAACCTTCTGAACTGGTGGGTTTGAACCACCAACCTTTAACAGTCAAACATTTCGCTGCCACACCGCCAGGGCTCCTTCACTTGCTACTACTACTCACTGCAGGCAAGTCCGTTGTAACGCATACAGATAGAGGAGAACTTCCCCAAAGGGTTTTCAAGGCTATAATCTTCATGGCAAGAGCTCTTGAGGCTTGGTGGTAAGGAGCTTCAGGCAGATCGAATCCACCAGCTGCTTCACAAAAGATAAGCAATCTCCTCTCACGTGATTTACAGCCTCTGAAAACTCACTGGCTGGTCAGCTAGAAGTGGGTTCTGACTCGATGGTCCATAACAGCCAATGACAACAGTATTTTTGGAAGGAGACTGCCATCTGTTTCTCCCATTAGGCAGGGAGTGGGTTCAAAGTTCTAACCTTTCAATGAGCAGCTGAGTGCTTAGCTACTGCGCCACCAGGGCTCCTAGTCACAGGCCATTGGTGCTAGTAAACTGGGCAGCATGAGTCTAAGGAGATCAGGAGGCAGCCTGGGGCCCAGCCCGACTTCGATCTGGTTTGCAGGGAGATGGTGCCTCCACCAAGATTTGGTTGAAAGCCTAGATCCAGCTCTGCTTTGCTTTTGTGCTTCCAGGGTCTGGTGCACAGCTCAGCCCATGTCCACAGCTGCATTAAGTGTAGGAACTCTGGTGGCCTAGTGGCAAGGAGGTGCACTACAATCCTAAAGGCACGTGGTTCGAGGCCACCAGCTGCTCCACAGGAGAAGGATGGGCAAACTCCTGCTGTGCGATTAACTCTCTCTGAAAGAGAGGGTCAACTATGGTTTAGTTTCGACTCTTTGGTACACAACAACAACTAAAAAGTAGTGGAGAGCACCCGAGACAAAGGAACCCCAGATCTTGTGAAATGAGAATTCTAAGAAGGGAGGCATGGAGGGTCCTTTATTTCAAGTCACCTCCTCTTTCATCCCAGTGGGCTAAACTGCTGGAGATCTCCAATTTCTTCGGCTTAACTACTACCACCAGTAGCTTTGGTGGTTTAGGGGTAAGAAACTGCACTGCCAACTCAAAGGCACACAGTTCAAATCCACCAGCTGCTCTGTGGCAGAGTATTCTCTCCTCTGGCGAGATGTATTGCCTCTGCAAATCAGCTGGAAGGTCAGCCACAAGTAGGTTCCGACTGTCTGGTATATAACATAACAATTACCTCAGGTGATTTCCCTCAGGTAAATATCCCCAAAGAGGGTCTCAAGTCAAACTCTTCAGTGCTTTTGAAAACTCTTCTCAGAAGCTGAGAGATCTGTGTGGTTTGAGGGCCATGTGTGCGGAAAGGTAGACCAGGAGCTAGAAAGGGAAGGAGGAGCAGCGAAAATCCCAAGGCTTGGGCTAAGTCGGCCTCAGTCCAGGCCACAGGACAATAAATGGCAAAGTAGGAAGGGGCGTGTCCTGGCGGATGTGGCCCATGTCTCAGCACCTGGTCCTCAGGGAAGCATCAGTAAGTAACTGTGGAGTGACCAGTTTATTCAAGTGGCTTCCAATCTGGGGTCTGAGGCCATCTAGAGGCCCAGAGAAGTAAAGCAATAATCAAAGCAATCAGCATTGGTGAAGAGCTCACTATACAGTGAGTTACAGGGTAGCCCCATCGCTTAAGTGCTCAACAGCTAACAGAAAGGTTGATAGTTTGAACTCACTCAGGAGTACGCAGAAGGAGGGCCTGGTGACCCACTTCCATGAAGACTCACTCATTGCTGTCAAGTCAGAACCAACTCATAGCTGACCCTCCAAGCGGGTTGTAAATTGCCCATCTTTCTCTCCTGGATGGTGCCTTGGTATTGGCAGTGAGATTCCTTACCACTAAGCCCCCTCCAGAGGGTTTTTGTTGTTGTTGTTGTTGTTGACTGCCATCAAGTCAAGCCCAACTCATAGCGACCGTATGATCAAAAGACCTGAAGCCTTTCTATAACTATCATCATTTCTCAGAGTTCACGGAGTTTCCAGTGGCATGTTGTTTAGGAAGTGGATGTCACTCCAATCCAGCAAGTTCTTAGGAAGTTATAAATGGCATGGGAGGCGAGTGCTGATGGGTTCAAGCCCCCCGAAGAGGCACTGGCATTGAGTTAGCAGTGTGTCCCCCCATCACAAAACAAAAGAGTGCAGCCAGGAAGCAGGCAAACTATTTAATCCTAGTACTTGGACCAGAGGAGGAAAAAATGGTATTTCTATTTTTTTAAATTACTTTTGTTAACTGCTAGGATTGATAACACACCCGTCTCTCTAATTTGAATGCTAACAGCCTGGAGTGACACTGTCCACAACAGGCAGGTGGCAGCTCGCGGCTGCTGGGCATGAGAAAGGCTGCTTGCGCCCGTGCCGCACGTGGGAAAACACACCCTCATTCAAAGCCAGTGTGGAGAATGGACCATAAAAGACTATTAATACTTTTATATTGAATATATATTGAAATGATTATATTCTGGATAGACTGTATTGGGTTACGCAAAATAACGTTTGTGAGATTATAATTCCAATTGTTTCTTTTATTCGGTAAAATTTTTTAAAGCTCTGATTTTCAATATTACATTTATGTTTTCTTGATGGGAGTTTGAATGAAAGTTAATAGAGCAAATTCGTTTTCCATTCGACCCTTCACACATATTTTGTTTTCTGATATGAGTTACTATACCCGCTTTGACTTTTCAGTTTTCTTTTTTTAATGTGGGAATTTGAAGATTGCTTATGTGGTTTGCAACTTATTTCTAATGGGCATTCCTGTCCTGGAAAGCCAATTCCGTCACACTGTGGTGTGGTTTCTCTCTAAGGTCCAAAATGAACTTGCTTTAAACCACAGTAAGCAACCCCATTGCCAAGATGAGTAAAATCTATTCCCCAAATGTAGGAGGACCGATTTTATTGATACTGTTCAACTTTCCTAATGTTCTGGGGAATGGCCCACACCCACAATCCAGCAGAGCTACAGCCCCTGAAGGTCCTTCTTCGAGCCTCAAGAGCTCCAGATGTTTCAGCCTGCAAAAGGCCTGCATGAGCCAGCACCTGGCCACACGGGCCCCCTGAGAAAGGCATTAGGACAGAGAATGGCTTCCCCAGACCTCAGCCTGCAGAATACAGCAGCAGGGTGGCTGTGACCTGGGGGCAGGGCCTGATGGTGCAATTAGACAGTGTTTGACTTTTCATTCTCTACCTGCTGGGTGGAGCAAATGGCAAAGCATTCAGACTACCAGCCTAAGATGGGCATGTGAAGCCACGTGTGGAGATATCTGGGAGCCAGAGCTGGCTTCCAAAAGATCATAGCCTTTAAAAAGGGCTTCAGCTGTCCCCTGGCACGCAAGAGCCACTCCACCACCACAGCCAATAACAACAACACAGCGACACAAATTTCCTATTCCCCACTTCACTAGACTGCCACTTGAGGGGCTCATCACTCTAGATCCTCTTTTCTGGGGTTACCCCTGCTCCTCCCCAGTTTCCTGCTCCCCACAACCTGCTGCTTCTCAGCCTCTTTTCATCTTTCTAGGCAGAAGAAAGTTATACAAGTGTTTAGGACTTTTGTTCATAGGATCACTATGAGTCATCTACAACTTGATGGCACTTAACAACAACAACGAGGCAGCTCAGTGGGCCTGGTGGACAGAAAGTGATGCTATCAAGCCAAAAGTGGGTGATTTTGATCTGTGGCCCTCAGGCCTGATTAATTGTTTTTGGTCAAACATTCTTCTAAGTGGGATAGCACTGGCCTGTCCATTTGCTGTTGCTGTGAAGCTGAACACTGTGACACTGATGTGTCAAATGCAAGAACGGTTACTCATGGTGGACAGTTTGGTGGAGCTCCCCGATTAAAACAAGCTTGGAAGCAGGAGTGGCATCCATTTCCAAAATAGCTTGCCTCTAGAAACTCTATGAACTTGGAGAAATGAAGAAAGTTATACAAGTGTCCAGGTCTTTCATTCATAGGGGCTCTATGAGTCACCTATGACTCCACAATTCCATGGCATTTAACAACAACTACAACAAGGCAGAGTCAAACAGACTCTTGAGGTCCCTATTTCCTCCCCAACTGCTTACTAGCCATGTGATATTACTTTCGGTCTTTGGTGGTGGTTCTTTCTATCCATCTGTGAAGTGGAGATAAGATAATAATAGTTTCTACTTCATAGGGTCACAAAGAGGAGGAAATGAGAGAATTCAAACCAAGTACTCAAGAGAGTTTCCACTATATTGTTGGGCATCAATACATCTTACCTATTATCAGCATTTCAGTATCACTCTAGAGAGTATTGTTCCACTCAACCTGCCTATCTATTAATCCATAAATGAGGATGATAAAAGTCAAAGAATGTCTGGGCATTTGAAGTGTCCCCATGTGAGCTGGGGACGTGGGCATCCTTATGGAGGAAGCACTGAGGGGGGCAAGAGGTTTGTGAGCCCTCCTTTAATACAGTTTATGAGGACAAGTGATAGTTTAATTTCTTGGAGCCCTCCCACCACCAAAGGCCCTTAGTCCACCTGGATACCTTAATCCCACCAAACAGGTCAACAGTTCCAGTCAGGTCAGATCTGTAGGGAGAGGGGCCCTATGAGTATCAAGGAAGAGGATTGCTTCTTGCAGACCTCTTTGGTCAGCCATTTCAAGACCGGAAGTGACCCAGATGACCTCTGCATGGCTTTATGTCCCCTCACATTTTCCTTAGGTCTAAGGTTGCAAAGCTCTCTGGGAAAATGGAAGCAGCTTACCCCACGTGGGGAAAAGAAAAACAACAACAAAACTCCCCAAAACAAAACCCAATCCACTGTCTATCTCTCATGTGTCAAAATGCTTCTGGCACCTGCAATAGGGGCTGTATTTCCTCCTAAGTTAACATGCATGCTTTCGGACTGGGCCCTTCCAGACAGAATGCCCTTGGGTCTGGCTCAAAGCTGCAAAGACTTCCAGGACAGATTAGAGAGGAATCCGCTCCAAGGAGAATCCATCTTCTCTTTCCTCACATGCTGAGCTGCTCCCTGGAAGAGTCACCTCAAAGTCCCTGCTCATCCTTGAACAAACGTGACAGTTCTCTGAGAAAGACAGCGAGTTTTCTTTTTTCAGCTGCGTGTTCATGCCACACCTCAAACCTTCACACTCACAAACACCCCAACTACTGGCAGAGGGAGTTATTTATTACCTCTCATTTATAGATTCCAATGGCTAAATGCGAAAGTGTGAGTTTATCTCTTGGCACAATCTGTTTGCTGATCTAACTTCACACCAAAGTCAGCCCCAAGCAGGAATCATCTGCGACTCCTTGTTATGTGCCGCTGAGTCAGAACCAACTCACAGCAGACCCTCCTCTGGTGGGTTTCCAGAGGCTGTAAATAACCCAGAAGAGGCTGCCCACCTTTCTTCTGTGGATCAGCTGGCAGATTCGAACCACTTACCTTTGGGTTGGCAGAGCAGTTTCTTACCACTAAGCCCCCAGGTCTCGTGAGCAGCCCCTATTGTGTATGTCTTAAAACAAGGAACCAATCAAAGCTCTTTCCTGCTCTTTGGGACATTTGCTTAAGAAAGCAGAAGTTGTTTTTGTGTTGTGTACCATCTAGTCAAGTTGGAACTGATTCATAGCTGATCCTCCAGTAGGTTTTCAGAGGCAGTTAATTGCACAGGAGGAGATTGCCTATCCTTCTCCCACAGCTGGTGGCCTCGAACTGCGTGTCTTTGGAATTGCACCACAGCTTCTTGCCACTAAGCCAACAGAGCTTACTAAGAAAGCAGCTAAGATTTTTTGTGGGGTCTGAATGGACCAGTATTCAACCATCAACAAGGGGCCTCCCAAAGTCCAGAATGAAGGTTGCATAATGGAGTACTCGGGTGGGGGTGGCTACTGTATACCAATGAAGGAATTTTTCTTTTACTTTTCAAAGAGAAGAGCGAACTGGGGGGCTGGGTGGGGTGAGAGGTGGGCAGGGAGAAAAGTACAACAATGAATGAATGGAAATCCAAAAATCTCTGTAAATGTTCATTAAACTTAATAAAATAAAATTTAAAAACAACAACAAATTATAAATTCACCAGCTACTTGAAAGACAAAAATAAAAAGAAAATGGTCTGCTCATGTGGTGAGGCAAGCCGACCAACCCATATCCTGCCTTTCTCCTTCCTTCAAAGACTATCACCCCACCACGACTCCCTCAAACTCCATTCGCTTCTCCTTTCAGAAGAAGTTAAGAGGCTTGGACTCAGCGGTACCTCCCACCTGGGTCACCGGGGGTGGGCGGAGATAAGGACCTGCTGCCAGTGTCGATCTTCCATCCCCGGGTTGCAGGCGATGCTCAGGATGGGAAGGTACTGCTTGAATTTATCGATCTTGACTTTCAAGTTCTCCGCTAAGCGCCTCGGTGCCGGAACATCGGCTAACGTCTTGATGAGTTTATATGTCGTCCTCCACATAGTCGCGATTTCCTCAGCAATTTCCTCAGCATTCAGTACGTACAGAGGTCCTGGAAGAGAAAAGATAGAGGGAGGGAAAGGGTCAGATGGCAAGTCGAGGTCGGTCCTATGTACTTCTTAAATCTCGACTTAGAATTGCACCTGCTGTATTAGGGAGCCCTGGAGGGACAGTGACGTAATCACTGAAAGAGGACTTTTCCAAACCCGTCAGCTGCCCAGAATCCGCCAGGGGCCTGCGGAAGAAAGCTGTAGCAGTGTGCTTCCATAAAGACTGTTCCTGTGTAGCATCATGTCAGCCCCAACTCAGAGCTAACCCTCCAGTGAGTTTTCAGAGGCAATTAATCATACATGTTGGAAGCAGGAGTGGCATCCACTTCTGTAACAGCTTGCCTCCAGAAACCCTATGAACCTGGAGAAAGGATGAATGTCACACAAGCGTGGAGAATTTTCGTCCACAGGGTCACTATGAGTAACCTACCACCTACGACTCGATGGCACTTAACAACAACAATCAAACACATGGAAATAGTCTATCCTTCTCCTATGAAAAAAACTGGTGGATTCAAACCGAGGTCCTTTGGATTTGCAGCACAACTCCTTAACCAGTAAGCCCCAGAGCTCCCAATTCCATAAAGAAGTCAGCGCTGGAAATTCTCTGGGGCACTTCTACCCTACTCAATAGTGTCTCCAGGAGTGAGAAATCAACTCGGTAATGATATACGCGAAACACCACAGGCTTTGGAGTTGAGTCTGGATCTAGGTCCTCCCTTAGGCAGGGAAACCTTAGACACGTTCTTGAGCTTTTCTAAGCCTCTGTAGTATCATCTGTGATATGAGGGCTAGAGTGGACACCTTGGTGAGTGATTGTAAAAAGAAACCGGGGCAATCAAAGTAAACTGCTTAGCAGAACGCCCAACACTAATCTGCCAGTTTGTCCTGCTGTAGTAGCTTGCATGTTGCTGAGATGATGGAAAGTCTGCCGACAGTATTTCCAACACCAAGAGGGTTGCCCATCGTGGACAGAGTTCTGAGGAGTTTCCAGATTAAAACAGACTAGGAAGGGGGGCTGGTTTTCTACTTCTGAAATAATGAGCTCTTGAAGGGTAGCAACAGAACACTGCCTGAAGATGAGGCCCTCAGGTTGGAAGGCGAGCAACTGGGTAGAGCCACCTCCTCAAAGCAATGTCTGCCTCAATGTCATGGGCAGAATAAAGCTGGCAGACCATGAAGGACCTTCCTTCTTTTGCTGTTGTGACCCAGTTAATAAAGAGACCCAATTGCAACCATCCATTAATAACTAGATCGTTGACTGCAACAATGGGTTCATTCAACACAACAGAGAATGTGTAAAACTATAATACAGACAACCTGGTGTTATCAGTAATAAGACATTAATCTACAAGTGGTTACAAGGCTGCCAGGCAAGATGGAAAGATATGCTCATGCAAATCTGACTATACCCACAATCGCATATGTTTGGCCTATAAATGTTCACGTCAGGTGCCATCACATTGACTATGACTCACAGCACCCCTATCACAGATATGACCCTGTCCTATCCTGTGCTGCCCACATGATCTCTGCGTTGCTCAAGCCCATATGGTCATCATTGTGTCAATCCATCTTGTGGACGGCCTTCCTCTCTTTCGCAGATGCTTTATCTTTCCTATCATGATGTCCTTTTCCAAGGCTTGGTTCCTTCTGGAAATACATCCAGAATAAGTGAGATGAATTTTCACCATCCTTGACTCTAAGGAGAACCTTGGTTGCATTTTCTCCAAGGTAGATTTACTCGTCTTTTAGGCAGGTCCTGGGACATTCAATACCCTTTGCCAATACTGTAATTCAAAGGCATCACATCTTCTGCCATCCTTACTCACTGTCCAACTTTCAGGAGCACAGTAAGCAACTGAAAAGACCGTGGTTTGGATCATGAGCTTAGTCTCTAAATGGATATCTTTGCCCTTTAGCACTTTGGAGAGATCCTTGACATCACATTTCCCCAATGCAATAGGCCTTTTGGATTTCTTGACTACTGCCGCAATGGGTGTTGACTGCAGATCTAAGTAAAATGAAATCATTGACAAGTTCAATTTTTTCTCTATCATGATTATTTTGGAAGAAGGAGTGCCATCCACTTTCTAAATAACATGCCTCCAGAAACTCTATGAACTTTGATAAATGTTGATAGTTGCAGAGGGGCTTGAAGCCTTTTGTTCATAGGGCCGCTACGAGTTGTCATCGAATTGAAGGTAACCAACAACACAACAACATCATGATATTACCTATTGGTCTTGTGATGAGGATTTTTGTTTTCTTGATGTTGAGATGCAATTCATCTTGAAAGCTGCAGTCTTTGAACTACTGAGCATGTATTTCACGTTTTCTTCACCTCCTGCAAGTAAGGTTGTATCATTTACATAATGGAGGTTGTTGAGTCTTCCTATGATCCTGATCTCACATTCTTTCTTACAGAGTCCAGCTTCTTCAATGGTTTGTTCATTATATAGACTGACTAGGTATGAGGAATGGATGTAACTCTGACACACATCTTTCCTGATTTTAAACCATGCATGTTTTCTTGTTCTGTTCAAACAATAACTTCTAGGTCTAGGTCCCTAGCATACAGTTTATATTCTTCATATAAGCACAATGACACGTTCTGGGATTCTCATTCTTCTCAATGTTATCCATAATTTGTTATAACCCACACAGTCAAATGCCTCTGCATAGTCAATAAAGCACAAGTAAAAACATTTCTGGTATTCTCTGCTTTCAGCAAAGATCTACCTGACATCAGCAATGATATTCCTTGTGCCATGAACTCTTCTGAATACAGCTTGCATTTCTGGCAGTTCTCTCCTGTCAATATACTGTTCCAATCATTACAGAGTAAAAAGAAATAAAAGAAAATGAAAACTTCTAAGCCATATGTAAATACCTTGAATGGTCATATAAAGTGCAATTATTAATCTCTTCACATGCAGAAGTGTGAAGAAAATCAATCGACTAATAGGTCACTTGAGCTTTAGTATCCATAACCTCAAGACGAGAAAAAACACATGGCTCCTGGCTACCATGTCTGACAACTTTGAGAATGACCACAATAGAAAGTCTCTGACAGAGTGTGAGAAAAATATGAAAACTATCTCACTTATTAAGAAGACTGGGCTTACTGGTCTTTTAAGAGACTTGTGTAAATTCCAAGAATTAGTGGACCTTAGTTACTCTTCTCATTTACTTACTATGTGTGGTTTTTTTTTTGTTTTGGGGTTGGGGGTTGTGTGTGTGTCTCTATGTGTGTGTGTGTGTTTCAAACATTCTTTCATTCACATATTGTTTCATATGATCATTCTTATACATTGTATTTTATAAAATTAACCACCATTGATCGATATCCACTATTATTATTACTTCGTCTTTTCAGATTCCCACTGGATCTTTCCGAATTCCTTCACCTCATCCTTCCACTCACCAAACTCTGCAACCTCAGGATTTCCCCCTTCCCTTCCCTCTTTGTATATTTATACGCATCTTACTAGTTATTCTTCTTTTTTACAATAATAGTCTTAAGCAGTGTTTGTCCTCATGAGACCGAGTTAGTTCATTCAGCAGAATGCTCTCTAGCCTCTCCCATGTTATACAATATTATTCTAAATCATTGCTCCTGAGTGCTGCATAGTATTCCACCATATGAATGTACCACAGTTTCTCAGTCTATTTGTCTGTTTATGGACATTTTGATCATTTCCATTCTCTTGCTATTCTGAATAACACTGCTATGATCATCAGTGTACACATTTCCATTTTTGTCTTAGTTCTATTTCAAGTATATTCCAAGCAGTGGAATAGCTGAGTCAAATGGAATGTCAATGCTCAGCTTTTTAAGGAAACGCCTTCCAGCATCACTGTACCATTTTACAATCCCACCAACAGTGTATGAAAGTTCCATTCTCTCCGCATCCTCTCTAACATTTACTGTTTGCTGTCCTGTCAAACTTTCCACTGCTACTGGGGTGAGATGGTATCTCATTGTGATTTTGGTTTACATCTCTCCTATTGCCAGCAATTTGGATCATTTCTTCCTGTGTCTTTTGGCCATCTAAACGTCGTCTTCTGTGAAAAATTTTCCCACGACTTTTACCCATTTTTAAACTGGGTTATCAGTTTTCTTTCTGTGGAAGCCCTGTAGTATTCTGCCCATTGCCTTTTCTATCTCTTTGAAAAAAAAAATGGGTTTTGTACGTGTATAGCATTGGTCTGTGCATTGCTGTACAGAGGTAACTTGTGGTTGCTGTGATGCTAAACACTGTGACACTGATGTGCCAAATGTGATAATGGTTACCCATGGTGGACAGTGTTTGGTGGAGCTCCCCGATTAAAACAAGCTTGGAAGCAGGAGGGGCATTCACTTCTGAAATGGCTTGCCACCAGACACTCTATGAACAGTGCTCAGGTCTTTCGTTCATAGGGTCACTATGAGTCATCTACAACTCAATGGCACTTAACAATAACAACATTGGGATTGTGTTGAACATGCAGATTGCTTTTGATAGAAATATAATTTTCACTTATTGAGTTTTCCTATCCACATACAAGAAGGACATCATGCTCAGAAGGTTGGAGGAACAGCATAGGAGAAGAACACTTTGGGTGAGATGGATTGATACAATAACTGGGGCAATGGTGGTTGGTGTGTCGGAGTCAGTGAGACTGGATTGGGACAGGGCAGGGTTCAGAGCTGCTGTACATAAGGTAGCTATGGGTCGCAGGCAACTCAATGGCACATAACAACTTATTGTTTTCGCAGTAGTGCTTTATAGTTTTCTTTATAAAAGTCTTTTGTGTCTCTAGTTAGTTTATTCCCAAGTATCTCAATTTGTGGTTGTCTACTGTAAATGGTACCATTTTATCAATTTCCTTCTCTATGTTTTCTTTGTTACTTGTAGAGGAGTCCCAGCAATTTTTAAAATATATTGATCTTATATCCTGCCACTGAAAAGTAGAAAAATTTTTTTAAA